ATGGGTAAAAAGAACAAATACTTGGGCCATGTTACTTCAACGAGTCCTTTATTGTTAGCAGAACCTTACACAAGTTTTACTTGTAGGCGGTAATAAAATCATCATCCATGTTTCTTCAAAGCACGGCGGACTTTTTTTTTCAAAGAAACTGCAACCATTTCTCCTGAAAAAAAATTTATTTTTATTTTCTACAAGATTGATTTCACGAATGATGAGAGTCTCGAAATCTCTGACGAGAACAGGTTCGTCGAATCTAAAATATTAGAGAAAAACGAATGCACAAGAAAATGTTTGAAAACCTTACAAATATTCGACTTTCAACAAGTTACCCTAGAAGTTCTGATTGATAACCAACAGGGATTACATCGCCAAACAGATTTTGCTCGTACAGTGTTTTCAACTTTTAATAAAGTCGAAGGAAATCGCATTCATTAGAAGATCCCACGAGATAAAACTTGAGGAAGGTGGAATGATTTCCTCGGAAACGAACATTGCACACGGTCGAGTATACAGAAGCATCCGGAAACGGAAAATCGAATTAACAAGTTACCGTTTACTCGTTACTCCTTACCACAGCATTTATCTATATAAAAATAAAATGGCATCTAAGCGTACTAACCCGAAGAAAGGAGGTATGCATGAATTTCATCTACTGATTATAATATATTATTCATAACTTTCTGTTTGATCCCCGGAGCAGGTTCGAAAGTTGCGGTTAATGACATGACTGGTAGTCCCATGGGACAACCCACTCTCTGGACTGCTCCGCCATCCATGTTTCAGCCATCTCCCCCAATTAGCCGCGACGCATGTGAGTGTAGCGAATTATGAATTTTGTCAAAACAGACATGGACTATAAAAAATCAATATTTTAGGAAATGTTACTGCCTTTCAAATGCCCTCTGAAATTAACAAATTTAAGACAAATACTACGAAACACTGAGTAACCCTAGGGTCACGAAAAAAATTAAACCTCGGATTCCTACTGAACCCATCGGGCTGCCAGAGATCATTAGGAACAGTCTATAAATACCATACATTCAGTCAAGAACTGTTTCAATAATCACGATTCAAATACAATTTAACCATTTGCAACACTTCTTGGAGTACTTCCTTATTTAAGATGTTTTAGAATGAAGACAACAGGAGATTAGCCTAATGAGCAAGGTCGACGTGTGTACTACTACGTGTGCAGCTGAAGTCGATTTTTTCGTTTTGGGCTCATTCAAGTCAGAAAAACTTCCTCCAGCACCCGAAAAACGACGAAGCCAAGACGATCCTCCTCAAAGAACAGGAAACGCTCGTCTTCTAAGACCAAAAACCAGAAGAAGTAGTCCTTGGAGATCCATTTCTTATTTCGACCTCGAGACTGGAATAAAATGATTTTGCAATAACTTATCGTAACTAATTACTTCTAAACGGTTGAGGAGGTGCTTCCTAGCTTGATGTTGTGAACAGAATCGTCCAAATTTCCAAGAAGTATGGTACAGTATCTCAAAATGTAAATAAAGTGGAATTAATAGAAAAAAAAAAATTATTAAATGGGTTTTCCTTGAATTACTGAAACCGAAGAGGAAAAAAATACTCACGATCTCTAGCGCAGAGGAATGGTCCGTTCATATGGAATCGCTATTTTGACGTGAAGTAACCGCTTAACTTTCGTTATTTTTCGGTCCCTTTAGGATAAGGGTTGCTCAAAAGTAAAGGGTCATTTAAGTGTTCGTCGTTTCATTTTCCCGTAAATTCTGTATTCAATTTTGACTCCTTGTCTTTCCCGAAGTTTAAAAAATGCGACGATTTTCCCGAAATTACAATTTTAAAAATCATTGCACCAACAATCGGTAAGAATCAAGCAATGAATCTTGCGGGGGGAAATGAAAAAAAAATCGTGAACGAGATGAGACTCGAAAGGTTTCCCCTTTTGTTTTCTCAACAGCCAAGCGCAAATTCGAGCTTTTTCGATGCGAGACTAGAGCATTCAAGACTAGTCTGAACACTGCAATCACTCAAAAAGAAATAAATGAAGGCTCTACGTTGAAAAGAAAATCACGAATGATAGCATTCAAATTCTTCGAGAGCTTCTTGAATTTCTGGGGGATTTCAACAGGCCACTGAAGAATACAAGCATTTGTACGCTTCTTTTCACAATGGCAAAAATTGTCCACGAAATCGATTCCATTACGATTCAGTTTTCAGTTTACTTCTTGCTCTGTAACCAGTTCCTTTCATATTATTTTTATTGTATCACCATGATCGAATCCTGTTTTTCAGCTTCCTTCAGCTGATGAAATTGCAATAATCCCCCTCTCCCCCTTGGACATATACAAAATAGTGCACACTATAGCCTTCACGGTAAAAAAAAAAAAAATCAGCACTGGACAAAACATACATTTTCGACATCAACACCTAGAATCTTTGAATTTCTAGCCAACCCAAGCTCGAGCAGCAATGCACGAAGAGTACTCATGAGATTTCCATTGACAGTTGAAGACGGCGCAAAAATTTAAAGCAAAAAAACTCATCACTTGGTTTTACACTTTCCAAAAACATGAACTTCTCGCTTGACTATAACTCGGTTCCAATATGCCCGCATCGGGAGTCACACACGATTAATACTCAGGCTTCTGAATTCTAAGCCCCGAATGACTTTCCCAAACAAAACCGAAGTAACATGCAGGAATTTGTTTTTTTTTTAGAAAATCCATCTTTTCTTCATACACGTAAATTTTTGTAGAACACCAGCAATAAAAAACTAATGATTCTTAGCCAAAGTGATCACAGTGAGCTTTTCTGGGTGCTTCCGTGAAACGGTTGGAAATTAGGAATACCTTCAAATCTGAGGGTAGACTCGTTGTTGCACACTGTTGGTGTTTGTTTGGCACAGGACAATAGCAACGTGACGAGTAATACGGGCTACGGTTTGAATTGTTGAAATACTTATGATGACGAGGGTTAGCCTAGGCAGAATTATTTTCCTTGTACTGCCCGACCTCGGTTCCTACCATCAGGCAGATTTAGCCTGTATCACTAACCCGACGGAAAATCTGATCTTTTTTTATTCCCTTGATTCAACAACATTTAACCAAACTTGACTGAACCTTAAATACATCCGGAGTTGAGACAAAGCCCAGAATTTACGACACCGTTCATGTTTCAGCGCAGTATTTGAAAAACGACATAGTTAACCAATGATCATATACTGCATATCAATCCCAAGGTACTTCAAGGTTTCCGCATTCAGAACGTCCTAGCCCTCGCTTTTCTCAGAAAAATCACATTAAAACTTGATTCAAAAAGAGGTCGTCTGGCGTCAATTCCAGCTTCAGCTCAGCACGACTTCGAATTCAGGATCATTTACAAGCAAACTCAATGCTTGTTAAGGGGGAAAAAAACTCAACGAAATTTACTCAAGTACTGTACTGTATAGTGCTGTACCTCAGTGTAAAAACTGTTCGACAATTTACACAAAGCGAATTTGTCGGTACCGCTTTGAAACTTTCGCAACGAGAATTGGTGAAACTTTACTTTAAACTCGGCTCAGAATTTTAATTCGCATGCACCGCTAGCCCCAATTATTTTTTCTATTTTCTCTGAAAATCTCTTCAACAGCTGAAAAAAGCTTTTATGCACCGCGGAGAAGCGGACCCATGAAGGCAAAGCAGTGGCTCAGTGATTCCTACGACCCAATAAACCCTGGCATTCATAAGGGGACGAATTTCTGAGAGCGTTGAGCGAGAAGAACCCAGTTCACCGTTGGGCAATTCTCCTGCGGTCGCGTCCACGTTGCCCGTCAATGCCCTGGTTACCCGAGCTCGCCGACGTGGACGTCTGGAAGCACTTGTACATGGAAGCTGAGATCCCTTTCGACACCGAAGTTTCCAAAACCATGTTGAATTCATCCAATGCGCCGAGCACACATTTCATGAACGAGAGTAATTCCGGCGTCCGAAGGAATGACCAATCCTCGAACATCTGAGCCGTAGGACTCGCCTTGGCGAGAAGATCAAGGAACCTGAAGAAAAATAAAGTATTTGAAATATCTTCGATCAGGCTACTGAGAATTCTACAACAGGTTGTGCACTAAATTAGACCTCTATTTCTAGGCTGTAAATTGTGCCTAAATTTGAATGCAATGAGGACTATTCCGGTCTGCATAACAGGTGAATTAAATAATTTTAAAATGTCACAAACTATGCCCAAATGAGAAAAATGAAATTTGAATCATAGTCAATATTTGTATCTAGTATTGTACAGTAATGCTCTTTCAAGAAATTTTCGACCTTTATCCTTGACAAGTTAGTGCCTCAATATAAATTTTATTTTTATAGACAGTAAAGTACACTCTTGTAATCTTGTTTTTCCTTGGTCGAATTGTTGAAACCGAACAGTTTTCAAAACACTTGAAAAAAGTTCCCTAAAAATATCACACGAAAAAATCACGGGGTTTCTTTCGGAAAAAATCGAATTTCTTCGCAACAATTTTGGCTAAAAGTGGACATTTCATGCAGGTATTGATAAAAAAGACGAAAAATATTCATTTTTCAAGAGAATACCGCTGCAAAGGAAATCATGGAATGCATCAGCAGTTAAGCACTATGAACACCATGGATTGAAACAATATCTTAAAGACATATGAATGAAATCACTAGTTTATTTTTAAAATACAGTAACGAACTCTTTTAAATGCTGTTCTACTTCAGCAATTTTTCTTAAAACGGATTTAAAGATAAGAGGATTCTCAGTAAGCAGAACACCACACACGTACCATGACAGTAAATGATCACGAACAGAGATGCACACGAAGAGTTGAAATTTGTCATCTTTCCCCAAAGAAGAGGAAATTCTGAATTTCTGATCTTCGTCCAATGGAGGAGCTTTGTTGATCCGATCGATCAGAATGCAGTAGCTCTTTATCAATTTGTAAAGCATCACGTCGGTTTGCTTCTTACCCTCCGCTCGATCCCTTTGCGCGATGGCAACATGATGAGCTTGCACACGCACTGCGAATTCAATTAAAAATATATACATAAAATAGCATGAACACAGATTACAAAAAAAAACAGTATTTTTTTTACCAAGGTAGTCCCACAAGTAAAGATTTCGTGAGAATAATCTGGATGACTTGAAACCACACAGAAGTGTCCGTTCAAACGCCATCACAAGGCCTCCGTCTCCACATAACAACTGCGTCAAGCTTCCGCGATCTGCTTCTTTTTTGTTGAAATGTTTCACCAGAACGTTCACCGCATCACCTGTATTATAAAAAAAGGGACCTTAGAAAAATAAAAATAATACTAGTCCAAATGAACTTGATAAAACGGGTTCGTGAACAATTTGAAGAGCCTTCTGAACTGTTATTTCCTGCGTTTTGAAGTTGAGAGAATATAGTTCTTTAATTTTGGGGGGGGGGGGGGGAGACTTTTTCATAATTCTTGATGAACCGAAGAGCCAATTAAATGTTTTTCCATCGATGGGAAAACGTGATTCAACGTGCGGATGCTCCAACATAAGGACAAGGTCCAAGTACCAACTATGACCGCATCTCGGGAACCGACTGCATGCGCATTTCTCAGAAACAGAGGAAGGAACAGATTATTTTGAACAAAAATAAAAGCCACTCACGAAGCATTTCTTGGATATCCTCCACAAGCCGGGAATCCGTGAATCGCCTGGAAACAGCCGGAGACTGAGGTCGAGATGAATTCGCGGGCGATGCCCGGGCATACATGCTATCCGAAATGCTGGCGCTCGAACTAAGGCCAGTCAGGGACCCATACATGCTACCCGTCATGGACATTTGTAATTCATCACCGACGGCAGCTCTCATCAGTTCCCCGACCAAAAGCCTCGCAGTGGAACCGTCATCCACATTTTTCCCCAACCAGCGACCGCACGAGAACACGTAGGTGTGTCCTGTCACTTCATTTCGAACCAGCACGTGGTCAACGTGCCAGTTGGGATACATTCCTGAATTGTCATGCCCGATGGTGAGCGAGGAGAGGACGCCGAGATTCTTGTGCTCGAAAACGACATGAGTTAATCCACGAGGCAATTCGATCGGCTTGGTTTCGCCCAAAGTTCCCGTCACACTGACCCAGACGTTCGCTGAGGTAGAACTTTGCTTTTTCGAAGGAACAACTAACACCTATGAGAGAAAATAAATTGAAACAAGAAATGTATTCAACCAAATAACAATCACAAGAAACGGCACAGTCTTCTCATCCGACTGCAATGATTGTTTAAGCTATTGCAACGTATGTTTTCTTGATGCATTTACCTTGCTCACTTGGGTTTCGAGTTCGATCAGGTGAGTCGAAGTTCAACTAAATAATGTCAGGTTAGTTCTGTTCGGTTTTAGCAGGGGATTGCAGATTCAAGGGATATACGAGGGTTGTCCCACTTGGGCGCAACCTTGGTTTTTTGTTGTTGAGTAAATGTGATTTTTTTTTCTAATTATGATATAGCCCATGATGCTCCAAGGTTCTGGAGCTTTTTCGGAGATCTCAAAAAAATTTCAAATTTACTGCATAAAAAATGAAAGCTTTCTAGTTATGGCCAGAGTTCTCCACCCATGTCACAGGGTGCTAAAAATTGCAGGCCAGGTGAAAATCGAAATTTCTCCGTTGTTTTAACCATTATCTGAAAAGAAGAAAAGATAGTGGTTAGAGCACGGAAAATTTTCAATTCTGTCAGCACCCTGTGGCATGGGCTGTACGTGGAAAGTTCGACTAATTAATAATGTGCTGTAGTCGAATTCATTCTGCAGCAGCTTCTACTTCGTAACTCACCTGATAAGAGATCACCATCTTCGTGTACGTGTTCGTAAAACAGAAGAAATCCACCGCATTCAAAGACAGCAGATGATACAAAAACTGCTCACGTTCGTCATCGCACCTCAAGAACGCACACCTCTTGTAATGTGTACTGAAAGATTTCGAAATGTTCGAATACATTTTCGCCAAAACAAACGATTCCCAAATGCCAACTGCACGATTACGCAATACGAACTCACCGAAGCAAATCATAATTAGAGAGCAGGGAACGCAGATGCGTCGACAAAAGCTTCTTCTCCAATGCTAGCCTCACCCAAGCCCTGGCGTAACCGACCTCGGTTTTGATCTCTTCCATCGCTTGCACATGGCTAAAGAATCGGACAATTATATCACATCATGGGAACATCAATAAAATCTGAATATTGTACTACTCATGACAATTTCAACCGCTCGCGCAAAAAATGCAATTTTCAAATAACCTAAAAATTTTCATTACCCCATACTCATTTCCCCAACGACCTCGACTACCATGATTATTCAACATTACACAGTTGCTTAAATTCATGAAGTTTCGTTAAATCGGTAATTCAGGTTAGGATACCCCCTCGCAAGACATTCAGCCATTAAATTTAAATCACTCGGACAAGTTTCCATGCCAAGTGTCCGAACACATAATGAAAAATCCGTAGGACGTTTCCGAAGTTATTAGAAGAATTGAAAAATTAATTACGTTTTTCTAAATGTTAATACAGTATCTCGAATAAAATACGCGATTCATATTCACAAAAATCAAAAATAAACTTTAAAATAAATTAAAAATAAATCTTAAAAATTACTCTGATTCATCAAAAACAAGTTGATTTTGGGCTTCTTTTTTCATTATGCGTGGACAGTATAGCTGGACTGCTTTGCTTCTTGAAGTTATGAAACACTCTTTTCGCGGACTTCATTCCTAATTTTTTATGAACAGAAAAACCAATGAAATACTGTAGTGTACGTTCCCATGGAAGTTTATCGGAAAACGAGATTCAACGTATGGACAAGGTTCAAACACCAATTACGGCCGCATCTCAGGGCCTTACTTTTACAATACAGTGATTCTGAAAAAAGGCCAACAGGGTAAAACTAACCTCATGTCAAATGTGACAGACTTCGGCATAGGCCGGAAGCTTGACACGGATGAAACATCCGGCGAAGTTCCACGCGATCTCGAAAACCCTCCACTTCTTTCCACAGACGCGTTTCGCTCAAAACGCGACAAACGGTTCATTGGTGGAGGAACGCTCGGTGATCTTCCAGAGATCTGTTGTCCGGGGAAAACCGAACGGGCTGTGTTGTTGGAGCGAAAATTGGCTCCCAAATCTCCACGGGCTAATGTGCCAGTTGCAGATTTCAGCGAATCGGTCAGGCCAGACGTCGTGAGATCTGAGGCGAACATAATCCTCGATCAAACTCAAGACTAAAAATAATCACATATCTTCGGCGTTGGGTCTAAGGGATTTTTGCCAGCATCGAATTTTCTTGGCATAGAACGTGTAAAACTCAATTTTAGATTAATTTTTACACGGAGAAGAACAATGAAATAAAGAGAATATTTTTACACCGGCTACATTTAGAAAATATTGAAAAAAATCTCGGAAAAACTCGAATTATTGTTACATTAAATATTCATGATTCGAACTGTCATCTCATTATTGGGACTGAAACCTTCGTCATGACATCAACTTTAAAAAAGCTCCAGAAAATCAAAAGGTTGGGAAAAAATTACGATTTTTCAAAGGACAATCTGAAAATTGCAAAAAAGGTGCGAAAGCAATTGTAAGAAAAATGCACATGCACTGTCACAAATATGTTTCGAACATAGAAATTCTATAAGACAAATTAAAGCAAGCAAAAAGATGCTCAATCAAATATTTTTCGAAAGGATCTGTAACCATAAAACACAGACTGACGCACGACCAAAGACATCAAGAAGTACAGTACGAACAGAATTTCTAATAGGAATATTGTAAATGCAACATACGCGCTCATTTTGGCAAAAACATGGGGAAATACTAGGCATGAACATTAGTCAGAAGTTGCGTCTCAAATTAAGTAGGGTGCTGAAAAAGTCGCGAGATTTTCTTTTCTCTATTCACCCCTCCAGGATATTTTCTTCTGTTACTTGAATCGTTTACGTTACTGATAAGAAAAAATTTTGAAACATAACTTTCCTTCCTGCAGTCGATATTTCTTCAACTTCTGGTGCGATTTGAGCACTTCTTCGAGCCTCCACAAATGAAAATCGACTTAATGGAGAAAGCAACACAATAAACTACCATTTGAAAATGTGGAAAATGGGAATTTAAATTTTAAAAAGACTGGTCAGGAACTCGGACGTTGCCACTCGTGAAGGAAGGCCAAAACTAGCCTTCGCTTATTAAAATGTGGCCTGTCGTACAGAATCCTATTTCAAGTTGAAACTGAACATTTGTTTCAATGCTCCATTTCATTTTTCATGACTTCAGTAAATATTTTTCCGATTCGTGTATTAGTTCCACAAACCGGTAAAAACAAATTATGAAAGAAAGCTTACAATAAAAATCGATTAAAAAGCATGATGTTCAGCGAATCGCTCTTTCATACGAACGACGCAAAGATTTACATGGGCTTGCGCGAAAGCTTTAACCACGGGTCCGCATGAAAAAATTACTATAAACGTCATTTTCCAGAAGAATACCGTCAACGACCTCAGGCTACTCACCGTCACCGGAAAAACATTTTAGTATCCCCAGGGAAAAATATTGCATGCAACGGCAACCCCATCAATTTTGCACTTACCCAAATTCCTCAGCTGGTCGGCCAGAAGACCAACATTTCCTCTCTTCAATTGCATCAAAATTTGCGGAAATGCTAATCGAGGATAACGCCGCAACGGAACAATCAACTTCTCTGCTATCGCGAACACGCAGATAAACCAAAGGAAGAAAAAAAAATCAAATAAACTCGTGTATTTTTTCGGGAGTAATCTCAGGCATACGAGACGAGTAAGTTTCTGAATATATAGAACCAAGAAGCCTTCTATATAAAAAACGCAAATAAACAAAATCGACATTCTTGGGTTCACGAAATGGAAAACTATAAAACTGAAACTCTCCTATGGAATTCAGCATCTAAGCATTCTAATGCAAGAATAGACATAAAGAAGCAAGTGGCATTCGTAAGCTAAACGATATAAACGTGAATTAAATGTGAGAACCCACGGTCAAGTCTCCTTCGCAGTATCACCCACGCCAGGGCTGTTCATCCGCCAACCACCAAAACACATTCGGAAGAATGGAACTGGGTGTTATTTAGATCAACCAACGCAATATTCACAAGGTGATTCGCACTAGTGAACTGTGATTTATTTCAAAAATTCGACACAAAAAAAAAGAAATTTAGGAAAATGTTACCTGGCGTTAATTGGTTCGGATCAATGCCCTGAATCGGATCCTCCAATTGTTGAAAATTGTGTAAATGAAACCATAATGCGGATATGCCCTGAAAAAATCAGAAATTCAAAAAAATATATAATGTATTCCTTTTACAAAGCCGCCAAGACTCTTCAAATTTTAAATTTGTTTTTGAAGACGTCTACGCTTCTAAATTACGATTAAAACAAATTAGATCAGAGATTCATCAAAATAAAATGGTGAAAAATATCCAAAAATTGAGGTTCAGTACGAGATACAGTTCACATCTGCGTGTGAAATTTGCAAACATTCGCATGATAGACCCAGAGGCAGATGAAACTTGGTATGACAGGATAAAATCAAGATTTATTGTGACTGCAAGCACCATCTATCCACTCACAAAAAACTTCATCATTGTAATAGGTAACTAGTAGAAGCAACTCACAGCTGTTTAATTTTTTCAAAACCAATTACCAACATTATTTGTTTGAATGGATAGCATTCTTGTATTTTAAGTAAAATCATATAGCACGACAAAAGTAAGATCATGAAACTCGAACCTGCTTGTTTTGACGACCATGAGACCAAACTCTTTCAAGGAGATCACAGAGTGCCGCTATCAGCGTATAAAGAAGGTGCGGCGATTGCCTTCGTAGGGAAGGTACTGGGTCACGTTGCCGAAGTCGAGGCTCAAAGAGTTGGTTGTCGGAGAAGCATGCTTGAAAACGAAGGACACAAGTTGCACTGTTCAAAATATCAAGCATTACTCGTTAAACTGCCCTCGTTTTTGAAATGGGGATTATCGCGATGAAACTTATTAGCCCAAATAATTTATAAAACTAGAAGCACACATTGAGTAACACAAGTTTTGTTCGAAGATACCCTAGAGTTATAGAAATATCCCTGAAGTTCAACCGAAAAGCCATTCCAACCCCACCCGCTCTTCCCCTCCCAGCGGCCTTCCATCCTTTGCTTTTTGAGGACATATATCTGGTTCAAGCATCTTAAAATACAGAAAACTGGAAAATACAGAAGTGTTTCTTGCTTCGCATGGAATATGATAACAAGTTGTATCCAACTTCTCAACCAAATCCAATCCACTAAAATGAAAACCGAGCCGACAAAGTAAAATCAATACCATCTAATTAAAGCGAAAGAAGAAAAAGCTACCTAAAAAAGAATAAAATCAAATAATTTTTTAATCGTTAGGAAATTAATTTTGTATGTCCAGGAAAAACGAAGGACAGAAGACCAAATTTTCGAAGGTGGAGGGGAACGCGGACTGAAGGCTCGCGGGGAGAGTATTGTCGGTTGAAGTACCCGGAACAATCCCCGAGTTTTATGCGAACTTTCGTTAGAATGAAATACCGTTTACTCGAAATCGGAAAAATCCAAGAAAAAAAATGTAAATGCATTCTCAACCCTCTGCAGGCGACTCAAGGGCGAAACAACTGTCGAAGAAAAAAAAATCCGACCGTTGAACGAATAAGAAATGTCTCTTCGTGTAAGGGACATTAAAAGTTCTACAAGTCAAGGCGATGAAACCTGGTTGAACAAACAAATATCGATTCTCGATTACAAGTTAAGTAGGCCTTGCTAGTTTACTTGAGTGTGCTTGTCATAAATGGGGGTTCATGGTGCGCTTGTACAAAGGGAGCGTTCTTTAAAAGTTTTGTTTGTTGTTTACGAATTAATGTCACAATAGGCTGAAATCCAAAAAGCAGCTCATAATCATACCTTCAGAAGTTCCTCGACAAACGTCCAGTTCTTGTCCGCAAGTACAGCTTTGCTGACATCATTAATCGTAGAGAGCCTACGCGAAGCCACCATGTCGGGACTCTGAATATTCGGCTTATCCAACCGAGGCCGTGACCTAGTCCCTGGGTAGCGAAGCTTTTGAAGTGCTCTCGGCGACAATGGCTGGTTCATGACGAGTGGATCCAGCAAAGGGAAATGGGCCAGAGGGCCCTGACGAATTGGAGCAGAGTAACCACGAACGAGACAGGAAGAAGGAGCGGACGCGAGAACATCAGCGCTTTTTAGCCGCGGTTCCATGACTTCCTGAGTTTCTTGAATGGACTCGCACGGCAAATATGTTCCATCGCCGAAATTCTGTTCGCATGAATTTCTTCCCGCACTGAAAAAAATATATATGTACTGTACAGATGATGCCGTAATTTCAGCAATTTTTACGGCTTGGAAGATCTGATCCTATTCTTATAAAAAGAAAAAATGCAACGCATTCGAACACGCCATTTTGCTTTAACGGGTCGAAGGAGAAAACGGAATCTTTTAAAAATCGAATAAATAATTCATCAATCACTAAGCTGGCCGAAAAATAATTCAATTGAATCTAATTAACCTAATCTAACCTGATGTAACTCAAGCAACAACAGCACAGAGATTCCCGGAGTCCTAAAAGTCATTATGAAAACCAATAAGAGCGGCAGTTTCCGATTTAAACTTGATACAGATGAACCTCTTCAAGTCGAACTTCAAGGGACCAGCAAATAATTCGAGTTAGGGAAACACTCATTTTTGTCAAGAAAAGATAGAACTACGAAAATTGTAATTGAGTATACTGTATTCTCGTCCTCAAATTGCTGCTTAAAGGTGTTGGCAGGATACTAAAGTTGACGGCAAGGGCTTATTTGCCCGATTAGTCTTTCACTGCCTTTCATCAAGTTAGACTTTTATTCCTTTTCTCTTTCCCGTTTCAATAAAATAATAGCCGAAAAGGCTTTCAAAATATTCGGGTTCGGGAGGTTTTTTTAATGCATTATTTATAAAGAAATACAGATAGGGAATTGAAAACAATTTGAAATAGGGAGGTACTCAACTCTGGGAGGGGGGGGGGTATCAAGTTATAAATTTTCAATCGTATCTTTGATACGAGGGTTCTAACAAAAGTTCTCGGAATGAAAATGAAGATGGCGTCTAATCAAGCTGGAAAAAAATTATTCTTTAGGGCAACTATATTCTTCAGCACAAAAAAAAATCAGCCCAGTGAATATGGTTGCCCTAAAGAATAATCTTTTCCAGTTCGATTAGACGCCATCTTCATTTTCATTCCGAGAACTTTTGTTAGAACCCTCGTATAAGAAGTCTGATTTGTAAGAAAAAAAATGCTGTTTTTTATCTTACAGAGAAGAGTCACTTTCGAAAATCTCCGCATACAACAAAGATGATTGATAACGCAACCGTTCGAGAAAGAAGAGGAGAAAGGATCATCTTGGATTTTTGCCAACGAATCAAATCTCTGATGCTAGATCGAGAACTTACCGAAGTCGAAGGATGCGTTGCTCGAACAAGTCAACCCTCGGGGAGGATTGGCCGAAATGTTTCAGAATCTTGGCATCTACGAACGAAGTGAACATCTGCGTCTCCAAAAACCGCGACAAAAATGGCCAATGTTGCGCGGGTTGATCACCCAAATAGGTGGACTTGTCGAAATTCTGGACGGAATCTCTATTGTTCAACCAGCTTTCCAGGTCCTAACAGATGATGAAAATATACAACATATACAGTGAGGGAGGGTCACGAAATTTAACAAAGATTTTAAAATATTTGCGAGTGAATAAAATATCTCACGTTGCAAGCATTTTTCGTAATCAATCGCCCACGGAAACCCTAAAGTCATGATCAAAATCAAAATGAACTAAGCGCTTTTCCCAGCGCTTTTTTTTTCATGTAAGAAACAGGAACCATGTGAATGGGAAACATTTTTACGTATCCTCTGAATAATTGACGAAAGATGCACGAAAGCTCGCATGCTCAAGAAACGTATGCTGGTGACACACACCCATCCAAAACCCGCATCTCGTCGACAGCTGAGCAATTTAATTCCCAGGGAAGAAAATAATCATGCTACAACAGCTGGCGAACTGTTCCAACAAACAGTTAAACCGGGATTGTATAATGCAAAAAGAAATCAAAGCTGAAACATATGTTAAGAAAAATCAGAAAGCCCACATGGCTTGGAAACTGCTCATGATAATCATTTCACCCTCATGTACAGCACGAACGGTTAAACTGCTCCATTTTTTACCCACTCCGAATAGTACTTTTTGCGCTGTGCTTCCAACAATCAAGATTCCATATCGTAAATGCGCGAATATAAGATACAATTTCGACTTCACGAAAACCTACGATGCATCTAACTTGAGTTGAACGCAGAACACCAACTTCTCGATGGCCTATGAATGAGTACGGGTAACATAAATTCATGAATATACAGTACTCATAAGTTATAGAAAAGATAAGTACCGTAATACCTTCACAATTTATAGAAAAGTTAGCTTACTTGATAAGTTTTACAACGTATTTTTAACATGTATGATATTAAAATATTTACACATGATAATTTACAGTACAGTATTTAAAAATCTGCACTGAATACATAACACTGTCAAACAAATGTAAAAAAGATCTGCCAACTTAATATTCACAGCAATTTTTTTTAATTATACGTAAAACTTGATATTGATTATGAAATAATTTTCATCGGGAAGAAAAAAGGAAAAGGGCTTGAATTTTCAGTCGACCACCGTAATGCATTACGCTATTTTAATAGATAAAATTGTCTTGCGAGGAATTGTGAACTTTTAATTCCACCCGAAACAAAAGCCGTCAAAGTACTGTATACCGTGAAGATAATTCGTTCTGTTTTCGCGAGGAAGCTTTTTTTTTTTTTGACAAGCTGCGTCTTATATACGCGACATTCAAATTTCACAGCTTCCGAGACTACTACTGCGTTATTGAAAAAGATAAAAGAAAGTACTCACCTGAGTCGGAAGGATGACGAAGTTTTCAAAGGAACCGAACATGTGAATGAAACGGTTCAAGAAAACCTCGCGTACCCCATTATTCAATAAAATATCCGACGCGTACTGCGCATCTCTGATGTTGTACTGGGATGTGGTCGGGTTCCCAGGACCGCATCCAGGTCCTGACTCAAATGACGTCTGACCTTTTTTCGACATTCCTGTCTGCCGAAAAATGGAACCGCTCGGGGGTAAGCCATTCGCGCCGTAACTCCAGTCATCGTCCTCCGCGTCTTCGCCTACATCATGAAGAAATACACGAATAAATTCTAGCGACCCCTAAACTCCGCTGTATCTCATTTTTCAACGTTAACTTTCATTTTTTTTTAAAGGAAGAATGATGAATGACTAATACAGACGTACACGGATTCACCGCGTGTTTCTGAATCATGATCACGCATCCGATTGAATTGAAGTGCCGATACAAGAGCTGCCACACCCACATGACCTACCGCAGCTAGTAAAGAACGTGACCCACCGCCAACTGTTTCAACCTAAAATTTAATAATACCTGTACTAGAAGGTTAACTGCTTTAGAAATTGCGATTAATTTAATATCCTTTCCAAAAGCGTGTCACCAAAATATTTGCATAAAATGATCGCTTAATGCATGTCGTGGAACACATTTGTTATTGAAAATAAATAGGGTGCGGAAACAGGAATTTGACGAAAAATTAAAGGTGTTCTACACAGGAAATTCCAATTTTGAATTCAAATATTTTATCTAAGAGTGAAGAGTAATTTTAATCGTCAAATAAAGTACATGCACAGGTTAGACGAATTCATTAAAATAAAACCCCGAGTGTTCTTTCATGAACTCACCGTGCTTTTGAATACTGTGCATGCGTCCATCGCTCAACATACATTCAATAGGGACGTCGAGGTTAATTAGGGTGCGTTTACTTCGACTGTTTTAATTCAAGTACAGCATTAGAACAGCATTTTATACTGCAGATGAGGTATTAAGGTAGACATATTGACTCAGGTTTCAAAAACACCAGCGTGTTTTTGAAAAAAAATTATCTTATATGAGTTCCCCAATCTTATGCGTGATGATGAATTATTCTGTTGAAGAATCGAATGCAGTGAGAGATCATTGATTCGGTAAAATTTCTCGCGGACTCTTTTTAAAAACGCAACCCCGTCAGCGATTTTCCTACACACCGAAACATTCAAAAAGGTGTATTTTAGCCGAAAATAAAATCCCCGATAGTTCTCCAAAAAAAGGCAGCCAGCAACGTAATGAATGAAACATTGACGTGAGTAAAGCTGTGAATGCAATCACGACATGCTCACGCCACACACCTAACGGCATCTGACGAAAGGCAAAGGTTCCTAACGTATTCTGCAAAAATAACGTTCATTTTCGAGAGAGCTGACAGCAGCGCCGATACTTTTTTTGGTGTTCCACTCAAAAGCTCTAGGTCTAGAGTTTCCCTTTTCGCATGAAGTGGTCGCAAGCAGTTTTTCAGCTTCAGATCAAGGTATTTTTAGCTTTTTCTGGATAAGCTTGATGAAGAGGAAAGGGGAACCCTATCGATTTAAGAAAGACTTGAAAGTACCGAAATTGAATATTCTAGCGAAGAATTAAATATTTCCTCAACGGTATTCCCTTTCACTTATTCATAAGGTTTCATCAATCGAAATATTTTATGCTGGACACTGAAACCTTCTGAATAAATATTTCAATGCACAGAACTAACACAATACATTATGTTGTATTGTATATTGTACTACAGTACTACACAGCATTTTTGACATTATACGGAGCACTTCTTAAAGATTTGAACTCACAAAAAATGAAAGTTCTTCTTAGATTCACATGGAAAATGCTCGTTTGCGGGTTGATGCCAAAATGTATATGCAATACAATTGATTTCACACTAAATCATCGAATACATCGGAATAAATTTCCGACCTCCCGTTTTTTACGATATATCTAGGCCAGGCAAAGAGCCAAAAATGCACAATAGACATGCATACACAGTTTCCCGTCCGAAGTGAAATATTTTTTTAAACAAGGGTTGTCTCAGTCCTGTAAAACATTAAATATTCCTAGAGCAGTCAGCGAGACAACAAAAAACGACCTTTCATTTTTCAAAATTATAAGGTTGGAGATTCTTGTGATATTTTTTTTCCTCCTTCTAGAATTATTCTCGAATTAATAAATTGAGTATGATCTTATATAAGAGAGAACGCTTGATGAACGGACGCTTGATGAACATGTTTCAACTTAGGTTACACAGAATTCTGGGCTGTCCCCAAAAAAGTTCGTGTTTTTGCATCCAGTGTGACAATATGTAACCCAAAATACTCGGTAAAAACAACGGGCATCAGAAAAATTACTATAATTTTAAAACTTGGTTGAAATTTGGTTGTTTTTGGCTAAGCGCTTAGAAAATTTTTTCGCCGAAAAGTTTTCATTTCATCAAGAAGTACCGGTATGATGAAATATCTTTTTTTTTTTTTCTGTGAAATACCAGAATTCTACGCATTTATACCGTAATTCTGAGGAATAAAATGTGTTCCGTTTCACTGAATGATTCAAAAATACAGGAGGACTCTACCTACAAATATCTTGTCTGCAATAATAGTATCTGCATTGTGTAACATATAATTCTTGGTCTCAAAAGGTTCTATACAAAGAAATATATTTTGATCGCGAACTTTTTTCTGGTCCCTTGAATTTCGCTGTACAGATTACGTCTGCCTGTATTTGATAATGCGCGGAACCGGTGCACTTGTGGTTTTTTAGATTAATTTTTTAATCTACTAAATTTTTTTGACATTATACGGAGCACTTCTTAAAGATTTGAACTCACAAAAAATGAAAGTTCTTCTTAGATTCACATGGAAAATGCTCGTTTGCGGGTTGATGCCAAAATGTATATGCAATACGATTGATTTCACACTAAATCATCGAATACATCGGAATAAATTTCCGACCTCCCGTTTTTTACGATATATCTAGGCCAGGGAAAGAGCCAAAAATGCACAATAGACATGCATACACAGTTTCCCGTCCGAAGTGAAATATTTTTTTAAACAAGGGTTGTCTCAGTCCTGTGAAACATTAAATATTCCTAGAGCAGTCAGCGAGACAACAAAAAACGACCTTTCATTTTTCAAAATTATAAGGTTGGAGATTCTTGCGATATTTTTGTTCCTCCTTCTAGAATTATTCTCGAATTAATAAATTGAGTATGATCTTGTATAAGAGAGAACGCTTGATGAACGGACGCTTGATGAACATGTTTCAACTTAAATTACACAGAATTCTGGGCTGTCCCCAAAAAAGTTCGTGTTTTTGCATCCAGTCTGACAATATGTAACCCAAAATACTCGGTAAAAACAACGGGCATCAGAAAAATCACTATAATTTTAAAACTTGGTTGAAATTTGGTTGTTTTTGGCTAAGCGCTTAGAAAATATTTTTTCGCCGAAAAGTTTTCATTTCATCAAGAAGTACCGGTATGATGAAATATCCTTTTTTTTTATTCTGTGAAATAGCAGAATTCTACGCATTTATACCGTCATTCTGAGGAATAAAATGTGTTCCGTTTCACTGAATGATTCAATAATACAGGAGGACTCTACCTACAAATATCTTGTCTGCAATAATAGTATCTGCATTGTGTAACAAACAATTCTTGGTCTCAAAAGGTTCTATACAAAGAAATATATTTTGATCGCGAACTTTTTTCTGGTCCCTTGAATTTCGCTGTACAGATTACGTCTGCCTGTATTTGATAATGCGCGGAACCGGTGCACTGACCTACCTAATTTCTCCAAAATCTATATAGCTTACGTCAACCTTAAAATATAGAACGAAGAAGATAACATGCAAGTACTGTACTCACCATTGGCATCAGCAGAAGCAGCCCGTCGCTGTCGTCGTCTCTGATTCTGTAACCCAGCGGCAATCCGAGAACCCCTCGCGTTCCGCGGACTGGCCAACACGGAAGCAACACTGGCCGACGAGGACTGATGACGAGCGCTGATAGGAGAATGACTACGGTCACTGGATAATCCACTGTCGCTGTCGTTACTCCACGAGGTTTTCCGTCGACGGCTCGAATGACGACGAATCAGCTTCTCGTTGCGGTTCCTTGGAGCGGAGAACATCGTGCGGGTTACGCAACTCGTGCGAAGGACGAAATTATCATTCAATGCGGAAACTCACTTGTCATAGGGCTCCTTAAGCCCAAACTGCTCAAGCACCACAGTGATTTCCTTGATAAGATCGTCGTCCCTCGGAAAACACGGCGTATCCTCCGGAACTTTTACCTTCCCTTTGTCGATATCCACCACGCATAAACTTGCCTGCAAGAATATTTGAGAACCAATTGAGATTCAAAATTTGTTCTGACCCTGGCAAAATTGAATAGATTTATACGTAATTCTGGAAATTCGTCAGGATTTGTTCAAGGAAAAATTCTAAAAGCAATCAACTCACGCCGCGGAGAGGACAGAAAAAACTTTAATAAGCATGACCAACCAAACCAATTAAAAGCAGATGAATTGAGAAGTAGTACCATGAACAAATTTAGCATGGGTACCTAAAGAATAACACTGGCGATATTCTGCATAAAAATATCCTATTTCGCGTTTCACTGCGTCAAAACTACGTCAGAGACGATAAAAAGCTGAAAATTCCCAACCGAGTTAATTTGGTTGAATCATTTTAAAATGGGGGCTTCCTCGAAGCATTTGGAACGATTCACTTATATCTTTGAGTTTGAAAATATATTGACCGTATTTAGAAGCAATAGGCGGATTATTTATGCAGGGAAAAATTTAAGAATGGCAGTCTGCATGTGACGATATTGTCGTGACATATTTGGCAAGTAGAATATCAAAATATTTGAAGGAACTCATACCTGGCCGAAATCCAACCCTTGCCGTGATTTTTTCGAACACTGCAAGCCCATGATATAAGGCACTGGAGCATCCAGAAAATGCATGAGAGAGGCAGGAACAATAGGAACGTATACGTGCTCCCAAGAAAATGGAAAAAGCAATGCTGATATGCATTCTGCTATCAGGAACAATCGATTGAAATCTGAAAGAAAAACTCATCAGGAACCTGATAGATAAGACTTTAAAAATGAGTACTGTACATACCCCTTGAAAACAGTAGAACTTGACTTTCCAGGAGAACACAGGCGAAAAGTTGAAGAAGCGGCTGAGGTGGTAAGAGGGAGAACACAATTCTAAACGGGAATTCCAGCAATGGTAATTCATCGAGATCGGGGAGTTGCAAGCAAAGTAATGGCGATCCAGGACCCCACAATCTCACTCCAACACTTGTACCAGGATTCGGCAAAGGTATTCCATACAAGGCGTTGTAAACGTAGTCTTCTATGCACAGATTATCAGTGACATCTCGCATCACAAGTCTGCAGAACAAAAGTCAGCCCATAAGCCTTCTTCGGGGGATAAAAATCTTCGTGATTTGAAATTTGAGGTCGCAATAATTTTCCGCACCGATTTTTGATCTAAATACAGTGCCTTAGGGGTTCACCTTTCCTTAAAAATAAGAATTTTCAAGAATGATTCGGAACTAAAACCTCCCAGGAAAATCAGACATATTGTTTCCAAGAAAACTGCACTTTTTACAGTTTCATACCAAGATGAGTTTGACACTTCGTGATTGAAAAAAATCTATGCACAACATCGCTGAAATTTTAAAAATTCGTCTTTCATGAAACACTGCTCTCAGAATCATAAATCTTGAAAAATAAAGTCCTGGCATTTCATAGAACTAATATTTCATTCATCGTTGCTCGCTCATCACGCATCATTTGACTTCAGTGAACTCGCGCACAAAATGTTGAACTCTCATATAGCGTAACTTGAGTAAGATTCCACAAAAAAGCTTCTTTGTAGCGATTATTTTCTTTAATCAAAATTCTGAGACGTACATAGAAAATGCTTCGATCTCATAATTCTCCAAATGTTTCAATGAAGCTCGTCTTCCGAAAAACTTACCGGTACAGTCCAGACAACAACTCTTTCGCCAGATGAAGAAAGGGATACTGCGAAATAACAGCTATGGTTTTCAAGCAGAACAAATCATCTTTGCCGATGTCGTAGTATTTGTTGGTTTCGCTAGAAGCTGGATCAGCCAAATCCGAAAGACGAAAATGCCTCGGCAAAGATTTCGTGTTTCCCAAGAGAGCAGGATAAGGCGGACATTTCTTCTCTGCACCCGGTGAAGGCTTAGTTCCGCGTGAAGCTTCAGCGATGTGCATTGACTGAAGAGGAAACATTTTTTTTTTCGTCTGAACCAATGTAATACATCTAAAACGCACGGAAACGAACCTGAAGCGTGTGCAGCGCAGTACAGATTTTAGAATCCTTCACTTCCTCGTAAAATGTGAAAGCGAAGCCGTAATAGCGAGATCCATCTTCACGGGTAACAATGAATCCGTGAAAGTACGGATCGAGCTTGTGTTTCTGAGTGCGAAACTCCAGCCCATGTGGCATGCACAGCTAAATAACAACTAGTCAACTTCAGAACCATTTAAATACGAGTTTATTTCCTTACCGTGCTTACAGCTTCCGGATCAAATTGATTCCACGGCACAGTATCTGGATAATGCCCCAATATTTTGCTCTTGTACGAGCGTTCTAAAGGAGAATTTTCTTGAACCACTTCATCGTCCGCTGGAAAGGACATATATACACGTCACAAAACACATCCATTCAAATAATAGATTAAACCTTACAGGCCAAGGTAGGTGCGACTTCTAATCCAGAGCTTCCATCCAGACCACATATCACGAAGTAGTCGATGAATCTGTTACACTGGACCGTCATCGCCTCTTCGGTCTCCGGTGGATAACGCACGAATCAACTTTGGCTGATCACATCGTCGTCACTCCTGTCAAATGAAAATATGAATTCATGGAACGGGAAACACACTGGACTAGAAACACTCGATCGAAACGCCAGCTGGATTATAATTGTTACTTTCTACGCAAGTTACAATTCCTGGCCCATTTCCTGTTTCATTCCGTGCGTGACTTTCCATCCACCAACTGATCCGCACCAAGGCTGGCGCATGAATGCTCGTGAAGATGATCTTGAACCCACGACATTCTCGTGATTCGACACACCAGTTTCTTCGATGGGCGAATTGAACGTCGAAAGGTTATTCAAGATTGACAATTTCCCCACGGTTGTTCTGTTTCGTAACAGTGTTTACAGTACTGTAGTAGGTTGTTCTGTTTCGTAAAAGTGTTTACCGTAGTAAGACGTCCATGATAATAGAATGGACTTTCCTTTAGTCGTCACTTTATTCAATTATCGACCTTTACTCTGTGTGGTGCAACCAAAAATAATTGTCAGCTGACCAACGAAATCTAGCCTGGCTCGTACATCCACACGCATCTTCTATATTCCGTTAGGGGGGGGGGGCACTCGAGGACATAAATTATTATTGTTGCATCAATCGGATTATGCTGACTCAGAAACTTCAAATATTTATGCCCGAACCTTGCTGAATTAACAATACAGAGGCGGGATTTGCAATTCTTCAATCATGTTTTCAACAACAAAAAACGTGCACGGTTATATTTAATTACATAGTACAGTATATTATTATGCATGCTGGTCTTATTTGCTGCTCTATGACTATATATGTGCTGCATGATGAATAACATTTCGAGATTTTTGTATTTCTTTTTCGATTATGCGAGTCTTGCATCATGTACCTGCTGTATCTCACTGTATATAGTCACTGCAATGCCAGAATGTATTTCCCCTGAACAAAAACTGGATCTTCCCATGGGGATCTGCAAATCAGGATTTCTCTTTTGGTATATACAGTACTGTACATATACAGCAGTACTGCTGTAATCGCATAAGCAGTTTACTGTACATATATTTAATTCGTTGCAGGCTGTATAGCTGCAGCGCTGCACGCGTTTTCGAGGTTTATGCCAAAAAGGTTCCCTTTCCTTTCTCATGAAAAAATCCACATCACCAAAGGCCAGCATGGTTTTTTAAAGCGAGTTTTAATTGGTCATTATATTCGTGGGGAATCGTTTCAGGAATGTTCAGCATAATTCAACTTATAAGTACAAAATTACTCTACGGATGCATTGCGTTACGCAAATGATATGAAGTCTATACGAATTAATTTTATTAAATGTACACAAAATTTTGATACTTTAGTTAGAAAAAACCGAAGTAGACATCCATTAATGTAATGAATTACATCCAACAAGGAATCATGATCTGTTAGGTATAAGTGTTTCCGGCATTAGTTATTACAATATATTGTAGTGTAATTCAAGTTCAGCGTTTATAGATGTCACTGTATAGCGTGAATATATGAAAACACGTATTATCGACAACAGCCAGTTCGTAGAATGTCTCAGCTAAATTATGAAAATTTATATAGTGACACCGAATTGATTGGACAGCTTGAACTATTTTCCAACCTTCCAACTCTTCAAAATATAACATATAGCCGTTTCAGCAGCACCAATACCAGCGGAGAATGCCGAAGCTCATCTATAAACTATTTTACAGCACTCCTTTTATAAACTGTACAGCTCGAAAAAGTTGTCTTTTAGAGTAACTTGTTTCCTCAATTTAATTGCTATCCGTGATTTGATGAGGAAACGGGGATTTATTAAATCGAGGGAAAACATGTCAATAGATTAAATGGACACAAAATACTGAAGCGTCATTTATTCCATTTGCACGCCCAGTCAAATCAAGAAAAAATAAACAAATGAAACAACGAACAACTTTTTCTTCGCGTGCACCTAGACAGAACTGCACCATCCTGCTGAAACGAAGATCACCTCGTATTGAATCTCACAAGCGGTGCATCAAGAGAGTCACCGGGTTTCTGTACAAAATGATCTCCTTTCTCAATACCGTAATGCAACTCGTCCGTGGTTCTGTACGCCCAGGGCATTCTAAAAGCTGAAAAGCTCAGCCCGATTCCGCCGGAGGCAGAAATGGCAATAACCCCCCCGTACCCATCTAAACGAAGTCGCATAAAATCCAGGCCCTCCTGACATGCCTTCTGGGGTCTCTCACCTAAGAAGAAACGCGCAGAAAAAAATTGCATTCATAGGGGAACTGTTATCATTATACATTAAAATCTCAGTAAAAAGAAGTCATTGGGAACAGTACAATACGTTCTTAGTAACCAAAAATACATAATAAATTATCTCTTCTACAATATTAGAGCTATATTGGGCACGGACCTAAAATGCAATTTTGTTGGAAGCCATCATTCGTTATAACGAGATTTGTCGCGACGATGATGGTAATAAGATTCAACTGCAGACGATGACCCGATAGCTAAACTACGAGAGAAAGTCATCGTATGGTCCTTCGTATATAATTGGGTTTCCAATATGGCGGAGGTAAAATACGAAGACCGTATATTGCCTATACAAGAAGTGGTAAAGTTCAGCAAGAGATTGAATAAATGACCAGCAAAAAAATTAAATAATTATGACTGACGAGAAAATGTATGATACATGAAGATAACCAGATTCCTTGATATGAGAGAAGAGCAAATTATCGAGCTTACGTGGTAATCGGTACTCGAGGGAAGGTTTAAATAAAAGGACTGCCAAAAATGGATATATTGTAATCCAGAACCAAGTCATCGAGACTGGAGCAAAATATTACCGATATCCTAGAAGTATTGAACTTTGAAAACGCGGTGAAACCTCAGATAAAATCGAATACCTCGGGAAATGGCAGAAATTATCCTCTGGGCCAAAGCAGCTCTCATGATCATTTCTCCATGTCCTGTACAGCACACTGTTCCCACATTGTCATCTGCATAAAATCCACAACCTGCGAAGAAAATTTGGACTCATACAATAAATTTAATTGATCTAATATTTTGTTCTTGCTTTTTCCCAAAACTAAATTTCGGCCGACATTTTCCATTCAGAATGCTCCTCAGACCACCAAAAAGTGTTGATACGCCTAGCATTATCGATTACGCATTAGGTTTTCAAATTAAAATGCTCTTGGTATTTAATAAAAAAAATTTGATCTGGAAAACTCAAAAGCGGTTGGAAATTAATTTCAACAATTTTATGCATAAATAAATAATGACCTACGTCAGTTTAATACAGAGACAAAAACCAAACTACAGTAATCTGAAATCTGAAGTTGCTAACACGTAACGTGGATAAAAACACAAAGCTTAACGGCTCCTTAATTGACAGAACACAACCTCTGCTTTCCTATAATGTACACTAAGTTATTTTCAAGAACCGAACGAGAAATATACCGGGCAAAGCGCTGTCCCCAAGCCGGCCTGGGAGTTTCCCGGTGATACCACCCGTGGACAAAGCGACGGCTGTGCGACCCTGGGCGTCGAGTGCGACAGCTCCGACACTGTCACACGATCCATCCATTGCAGGGGTGGAGCATATTCGCTTCAAATCAGTCTTGCTCGTCACTTCCTTGGACGACGCCCTGTCGGAAAGATGAGGGAAATGCGTTTTTATGTACAGCTTCATTCGGATGCTTCGGCGAAATAACGAGCTCAAACAACAACATGGATTTTGAATGGGACAAAATCCTTGACAAAAGATTAAAAACCTCAAAACCAATATTTATCTTGAAAAATGAGCTTGCGCTGAAGACTAAGAAAAGGTAAAATCTTGGGGGGGGGGGGGGAAACAAAGGATCCTTTCGAAAAGGTTGCCATAAGCCAAACGATATCTGACTCGGCAAGACAGCCCATTATTGTTCCATAGTTATACAGTACTGTATTCATGAACCAGCACGTATCAGGCAGTAAAGGAGAGGGAAATTTAACCCATCACCTGATACGCTGCTGGATAATCGTGAGTATACACCCATTCAATCCTTTCGTCTCAAAGCCCTCATTATCATAGTCGAAAATTTATCGAACAAACAAAACTTAGTACATGCGCTGTCACTTTCATTTTATGAATATTCGCACTGGAATGTTCTCAGAGATTTCAGTGGGGTAGACATTAAGATATCTCCAAGCTTCAAGAGAAAAGGTGGATACTTCAGTTTTCTAGACTCTAGAAGAGTTAATTAAACGTAAACATAAATCTAAGATCACTCGAAGAGGGGAAGAAGGTTTTGACTGTGTGAGAAAAGCAAAGTTTTGAAAATCTTTGTCTCTCATGTTTGAGGATCTCGCATTCATTACCGCGAAAATTGTTGATGCGAAGAATATCCAAAAATAAAATCTCTTCGAACAAAAATGATTCAGCCAGACGAGCTGTTCTGTAAGTTCGTAATAAATACGACTGTATCATAGGAAGAATTACCCTCATACGAACATAAGATAAAATAGATTTGTCTAATAGTGTATCACACAAATGATGTCCGAAGAATAAGAAAATAACACTACTGTCGCTGGGAAATTAGCGATGCCTGCTTTTAAAAGATAAGAATCGCAAAAACGCTGATACCAGGCTGAATACGAGTTATGGATGCTGCGATTGAAGACCTGGTTCTTCTTGAAATTTTTCAGCGCGTATTCCGTGATGAGATTTGAATTGTCAACTGCGGGAAGTCCGTTTCTGGCGGCGAATTTTTCCGCTCCTTCGCCAACGAGCAAAACGTGATCAGACTTGTCCATAACCATACGCGCGGCTCGGATCGGATTTCTCACCGTCTTGACACCGCCAACGGCTCCTTAATTGACAGAACACAACCTCTCGCTTTTGCACTTTGTTGAGAATGACAAATTAATGTCCTCTGCATGGAATATTTTATGCAGTAAATTTAGTTTTACCGCGAACACCTCCCTGGCTTATAGACCTTCTCTGAATTCAAGAAGGTGCATCTTGAATCTCATAAAAAAAACATAATTCATGGGTCTAAATTTGGTACCATGACGCAAACCCGCTCTTGGTTTAACCAATTTAAAATTAGTTTCAGTTTACCAGCTTCTTCACTGTGGATGGCCATATTCAACAATAATACACACAGAAAATCCTTTGTGTCTCAACCTACTATAATGTAATCGCAAATTCATTTCAGGGATCCTAAAAATAGCACACTTTTTAAAATTCTATATATTATTTCCTTTACCTCGCGTTTCGGAAACAATTTAATTCTTGCTTATTTTTTTGAAAGGTAAATTATACAGCTTGATTTTCAATTGCTTTCATCGTTTACATTAGGTGACACCTGCGTGACTCAATCGTAACGAATCTGTCATGGCGTAGGGTAGGGCAGCGTGCAAAATAATCATAATCTCGCGAAGGAATTTCTACGTTTCCTTTTTGTCTGGATTTTACGACGATTTATGAATAATGAAAAATTTATTCGTCGAGTGATCTACATAAAAACGCTAACGAATCATACAACTTAGGTGCATTACAATTGAATTCAATAGAAATGACAAACTTACCTGCCTTCATAGTGCGTCCTTCCATGATTGCGGCATCACACTCGACTTTTCCCTCCAAATTCAAGGCACCACCAGTTCCTAATATAAATACAATATAAATCTGAAATTCATGCAACAAAATAGTGCGAAATCACATAAAACCCAAATTTATCTCATTTTCCGTCGGTTCGTATTAGATCCGACCAAACGTTGCAGCACTTAGGTAATACAGCACTGTATATGAATAAGGGAAGATTTTTTTAACCCAATGGTTTCTTCACGATTTTGCGGAAAAATCATTGTTTTTCTTGGGTCATGTTAGCGAAGATTTTTCTTGGTAAGTTATAAGTTAGAAGATAACAAACCAATTAATTCGAACCATCAAATTAAATCCCGAATGATGCACTGAACCACCCAGCATTTGACTGAAAATGAAAGTGTAGGCCTTTCAGTGGAATTAACCTGGCTGACATTTCAGTTTTTCCGTTTTTAGTTGATAACGCACAGGCTTACAGTATTTTTAACGAAGATTCGCCAATGAAATATATTTCAGAAAAATCTTTACAGGTCAGGAATATAGATAAGCTCTGCTCAAAAACATAAACCAGCGCCTGCATAAATTTCGAGCTTCCAGCGTATATCATAAATAACGAATTAAAATTTTAGAAACCAAGGACGAGTAACAAAAAAAGAGGATAAGGAAATCAAATTTTCCGAACACGCGTATATAATTGAACGACGTATTTTCGTACCCGCGAAAAACAAAGGATTGTTTTCCATGGCCATCACAGCTGCTTCCACGCCGTCTCGCGCACTCTTCGACTCCATCATGGCAATGAACCCGGAATTGGCAGCTTCCCGAACCCCGCGCAAATACGCCATGCACAGTTCGTCCGGGATTTTACTCGCCCCCGCGTGCACGATGAGCATCGGCTTCGTCTTGCGATCCACGGGTTTCGTAGTGACGGTAGCTGTGGTGACGCCGTCCTTGCTTCTTCGCGACGCATTCGGGACACGCGGTGGGGCCACATACTTGCCAGCCATTCCATTCAAGCCCACGTTAGATGGGCTAATGGACTAACATAAACGGAGGGGGGATAAACCTTGCAAAGGTTACAAAGCGTGTTTAGAGCGGGAATTGTTACAAAAAAAACAACCGAAAATTCGTCGCCGATTCTCTGCCATATCATCTGAATCCAAACATGTAGGAATTCAGGGGGTAGATTTTCTCAGGGCTAAACCCAGAACAAAGGGTTTTCAAAAATCTCACTCACGACCTTAAAAGCGTTGTTAAAAGGGCTGTAAACAAAAATCTGGCATGGGCTTAATTCCTGCAATTGTTGCGGTGTTGCCCAACTTGTCCATACGGGGGACGATTTGACGTTTTTCTAGGAAGTTTGAATTAGTTATGTACGGAGAACAGGTCTTTTAATGAATTAAATCTCTCATGTCATTGACAGGACGACAGAACAGTTCCTGAAAACATACAGCCGAATTGAATCTGCCAAATACAGGAAGACTCTCTGTACAACGATTTTTTACGGATTCCCTAAATTTCGTTGCGGGGAAATCAAATCAAGGTAAACCCTTTCTACAATGATTTTTCTCTGAATAACGATTTGTTTTACCATACAGGTCTCTGCCCATTCTATATATTCTGTACAAGTTCTCTTCAAAAAAAGTTTCTATACTCCCTGAATTTTGTTGCAAGAGAAATTCCACTTTTCTTAAATTTCGCTGGTGATTTTCAGGACTTCTGAGAAAACCCTACAAAAAATGTGCAAGCCATTTTTCTTCGGCACGCATGAGGCAAGTGACCCCAAACTGTGAAATACCACTCCAGGCTCTGAACAAACGTTCTCAAACACAAAATGAATACAATAATTAAATGTCGACCACCAGAGTTTTCGAATAACCGTGAGGCGCAGAACTTCAATGAACGAATACATTCCCAAAACGCATGGGGTAGATTGCACGAAATTTCCCGTATCAGGCAAGACCACGAGGTTCAAAACACAAGAAATTTTCGAAGAGAATTCGTTCTAAAGAACATTTTTGTATGGGGCAACGAGGAAAAAAAAACTGAGAAACGTGATAACCGAAGGAGATTCGACCAATAGAATAACTGCTCAAGTCTTTATTTTTTTCGAATTCCACAGGTAATGACGGATTTTGTTCCATCAGCGCAAAAATTGAATCACCAGGCAACTCAGCAGGTAGATTCAAAGAACACTCCCATGAAATGAAGAGTTCGCGACTTTAGGATTGAACGTGGATTTGTGATTGGACAGTAGACAGCGTCTGAGAATAGCGCTTGCAGAAAACAGCACAATTACAGAAGAGCAGGTTTACAAAACAGTCTCTCAACGTCGGACAAAAACGAAACCTATGAAGAATTTTTCTGTATACTGTATCTCTATGAATAAAATTACCAGGTTTTCTGAAGATCTTTCGATCAAAAATTCACAAAGCACTCTTGCTGCGCTGTTGTCTGCTTGAGCTGGTTCTCACTAGTGCTGTTTTCATTTTCATTTTGTGAACAAGCGCTAATTTGTGAAAGGCTCTATCGCCCTTTTGCACCACGTTTTAAATTAATGCCGGCGATATTACAGAGACGAAACACGATTTTTCTGGGCACTCGATTTTCAAAAGAGATTGAGCGATCACGTTTGCTCTCATTTTCCATCCCAAACGGGATATAACGGATATTCTGAAGTCCTTCTGGACAAGTATCGCAGAAAAACATCTTCACGGATTCGAAACCAACGAAAACAGGATGGTCCGTTTGTGGAAATACCACAAAGCATGAAAGCCCGACGCATTTCTCAACAAATACAGCACAAAATGTTAGATACAAAAATTTTCTGCTCAGACTGATGACAAATGCTTAAAGATGACCGATACGGTCAGAGGCATATACGGAAACAAAAGTCTGAAAACTGGATTTCTCATTGATTAACGTGATAACGCAGGGTCTAAACTCTAAATAAACCGTATTTACGCGAATATACGATGCCATCAATTTTCATACCCGCTTCTATTTTCTAGCCGCACCAGAATCTTGCCTTCAAAACAAGAATGTGAAGATTTCATCGATTTAAACACGGCCCCTAACCTTTCGTGACTCAAAATCAAGAGCGGAAATCTTATATTCGAGTGAATACGTTAAGTCTGGTCAAAACTACCGATAATATTTTCGCAGTAGCGAAAAATTTAGTCATTCTTGCCTGCAATTACCTCCTCAGCTACAGCGGATAGTTTTCACCGGAACTGAGCTTTGATCACAATCTTACCTTGAAATATTGATGACTAGCTGGTATCATCCGAAATTTAAACCATAATTATAAATCGAAGGTCAAATTAGCGAATGAACGAAGCTGGCAGACGAAGACAGAGAGAACTCAATCTAGTCTTCTTCGAAACGCCGTTTTCCCCGCGGCCATTGATCGATGCTAGGTTTGTAAAACAAGTGGAACGTACACCACGCATAAACACCGGAATTTAAAAGCTCGACAAAATGAGCGAATCACCCCACAAACGCTCGTCAACAGCCAAAAAAACGGTTTGATTTCGCCATCATGCGAAACAAAATTTTCTTTCCTTTCCCAACAATTAATTGTACGAATAACCGAGCGGAATGCAAAATAAAAACCCAAGTCCCGTAATCCCCTTTCGCCGAATAATTTCGGACCACTGACGAAGATCCCAGTCACTTGCACTACGGAAGCACCGGTCGCAGATGATATCCTGCTACTTAGTTATTACGAGGTCTTGCTTTCCGCCGCCACCTTCTTGGCCTCCCACTGTGCTTTACCGCCGAAGTGTTCGTGGTGAATGAGTCGTCCCATCTGTGTCAACTGCGCGGCTTCATTGGTGATGTGGCAGGCAAGCAGGAGCAGGTTCCGCGGCTTCACCATCCAGGCGAAACGGGCGAACATCAAAGAATAACAACATAGAGCTGCGAAATAAATTACAGACCATGAGCAGATGCAACTGGGTATTACTTTCCAAAACATAATGCGTGGCAGATCTCTAGAGGCGACAAGGAAGTCTTGCCTTTTGGGTGAAATTCATTCACCCCATAAAGGAGAATGGAACTTGCATCTCATAAAGCCATAAACCGTTTCCATGATCAGGGTTCTTGAGTCCTTTATAAATACTTCAAGGGGACTTCGGCTCTGAATTCGTAAACTCAATTACTGAAGTGAAGTATTTTAACAAAGGTATGCGAACATTCTGATTTTCATTTAATTACCCATACTAACGAGTACCCTCACACCTTTTACTCAAAATTGAGAGGAAAACAGGGGATGCACGTCATAGGCGGGTATACATTCGTTTTCAAGTTTTGGAAATGAAGGAGTGCATTATACTTGATTATAACGGGGAATTTCGGACCAATTTTAAAAGAAAAAAACTTATTGGAATGTAAATAGAATAACAGTAGATAAAAATTAGTGGAATTCGGGATCATTTCATGCCTAAATTAGAATTCGCGTTTTCTTATTTTTAATATATCGTAGTTTTGGAGACAATGAAAATGGGGTGCGCGCTGCTCGGGGATAACATTTTATAAACATTTATACCGAAAAAATTCTGCTGCACGTCGCAAGGGCGCGTGGTACTTGAGTAAATACGGTACTAAGGAAAAAGATAAATCAGCGATTCTACTATCAACTGGCGTCGAATAAAAAATTGGCAAAATCTCAATAGTTTGACACAGTAAACAAATGATATTTTTTTACACTATTCCCATCCCAACGGAAGAAAATATGGTTTCAGATAAAACCCCTTTCGTCCTAGAGAAATAAACGCTTACCGAACGTCATTTTGCCGCTGATCATGGAAGGATCTTTTTTCAGATCACCGATTGCAGCGATCGGGATGCCCCAATTGGCGACTGGACCCCAGAAGTGAGTGCTAAAAGTGTAAAATATTGGGAAATGACCATCTCAAAAATTACGACAAATGAAAATGGAATCAAAACGAAGCCATATCAACTTTTCAAAAACAAAAATCTCGTTTTGTACGAAAATCTCGTACGTCAGAGGTGTTGAGCAACAAGATTCCACAAGCAAAGATACGAGGGTTAATTCAAGTAGAGTGCAGAACTTCCATTACCCAAGACGAACGTAATATTGTATTATATCCTCGCGAAATTCCATTTAAATTTCGATAAACGAGGTTAATATGGACAAAATAAAAAATACAACTAGAAGTATGAATTAAACCGAAGTTACTTGGATAAAAGGTCACCTGAGAGGCAGTTCTCCAAACATTAAAACCAATGATCAAATAAAATTGTGCTTTCTTCAACATTGAAGCCCATGTTTCATTACGGTACTACCCATGATATAGTTTTTTTTAACTTCGGGCTGAATGACAGGTCACCTTGTAAATAATGCTCCATACCTTAGATTTAACAACATCTCGGAAAAAATCATACTTTCGCCTATTTACAAGCCCACGTAAATATTGTTCTAAAATTTGATTTAATCAGCAAGAAGTTTACGAGGTCGCGGATGAAATCGAAGATAATTCATTTCTGAGTACGGTACTCGCGAAACTCTCGAATGAATCCTTCAATACAGAATGTCCCATAAGTTAGCTGAGTCCGAATTCACAGCGGAGACCGGAATTTAAACAAAAATTTCGTACTCGTCTCATCAGTCAATTCATGAGAATAAAATTTTCAAAATACCTCGTCAAATAGTCTCGCATCTCCTTGCTCCGAATGGAAGCCACTGCTCGAGAGAAAAGCGATGCCATGGCGACGGAGTATCACTGTGAAACTTTGATATCACAGAAGAAAAACAAAACAAAAAACACACAGGACTTCACGATCCGCTAACCAACGCCAGCGAAATGTTCAGCACACCAGTCTCACACTAGGAAAACTGTAAAACAAAATAAAGTCACGATATTGATCAAACACGGGGGTTCTTAGTGAAGAACCTAAATCATATCTTGACCACTCCGAGACTTTATTCACCCCAGTAAACGCGATGGCATCAAGTTTCTCGCGAACATGCTACGATACCTAACAAGGTAAGTAACTGAATGTGAGTGGTAATGCTAGATTTTAAATTAACCGGATCCACTGAAATGCAGTAAGTTATTATCCCTACGTACCAAAAATGCCACGGATTGTACGCGCGCGCGAAATTAACACTTAAACCCCACGTGAACATGGACTATAAAAGAGTGGCCTACAATTAAAAATGCACCCACTTCCTCATTAAAGAAACCGGAAAAGTCGTGATTTTTTCACATTAATAGAATAATTAGATCTCCTTTATCCACGCTTCAGTTAAATTTAAAAAAGTTCGTGCAAAATACAAAATTTCGAAAATGAAACCTAGAATCTTCAGAAAGCATAATTCAAATTTTCAATTTATAAGTGAGGGCAACGAAGATTCCAGCAAAATACGACTGCGCAAGACGTTCAGCGAAACTCAAGAAGAGGTATGACCGAAACAGTTTAATATGAGAGTTTGTAGTTAAATGCTCAATAAATCCGTTAAATTGAGTTCCAAAATTTTCAAGAAGAACGGATACGCTTCTTCGGTACTTTTCTTCGTTGCCTTTACTTGATGAATTTTTGGAGGTCCGTCAGATGCGGCATCAATCTCGGACCCGAACAATCCTGAACTGATCGTCACATTATTTGAAACTCAGGCGATTCCTATTCAACAGAGAGTAAAGCCACACATCGGGAAATTTGGGGATAAAAATTGCCGAAAACCATTGACTCCCTCACAAATTTTGTTCTTGCGAGGAAAACAACGACAAAAATACAGATTTCATTGCGTGATCATGTGAAACTGGAGAACAAACTAGCCGCAATCACAATACGCATATAGACAACTGAAAGCGATCCACAACGGAGTGACTTGACTTTGTTCAGATGGAACTCCTGGATTCGTGTGTGTTTATCTGAACCACAAAATGAGAGACAAATGAATTCTTCACATAGCAACGCACGCCGACCATTTACACACATTCATTGGAAAAAGTACAGTTCAAGAAAAAATCGTCACAAAAGCGATTTACATTCCATCATTCGTCTCGTGCTCATTACACAAATTCCGTGATGCAAACAGCATTCGTTTTCCCGGTAGACTGAAAAAAGATAAAAGACTTTTTTGTTGTTGAACGGATCACGATTCCAGGTCAAATCGCTTGGCATCCGACCCAGACTTGGGATCGGGGTCCACCTCCGCGGCCTCAATCAAGTCGTTCATATTTCGTTCGAGATCATTTATCCGCGTTCCCAGGGAATCGATTCTGCCGAGAATGACGTCTGTCATATCCTGCAAGCGTTTCTGCATGTCGCCGAGTTGACCCTGTACAAACTCCAGCAGTTCTTCGGTTGTTGAAGGATCGGAGACTGATTTTGACACAACTTCAGACTCAGTTTTCGTCTCTGGTTTTGCGTTCACTTCCTCCATTTTACAGCCTGATCACCGGCAACACTCACAATCTCAAAAAAACCTTAAAAAAATGGTTGATCGCACAACACATTTGAGTAAAGTAAATGGATATTTTCGTTGGACGGTTGCTTTAACTCTGCGCAGGGCAAAATTTCCAATGTTGAAACTTTGAAGTATATTTCAAATTTTCAGTATAATGTTAACGGATTCTAGTAAATTTTCAGGTTCTCCAAGAAATTTTTCAGTACACTGCTTCGTGGAAAGTTAAACCTTGCCAAAAAAGTTCATAAGTTGAAACCTTTCATCAAAAGAGTTGAATAACTAAAACTTTTCATGTATAACCTAAATTCCACTGATTTCACAACCGGCCAAAAGTTTCTGAAGAAAGGTTAAAAAGTGAAATTATTCTCTTCTCATGAATTTTTATTCTTTCCATTTTTTTTTATTTTGCAAAATGTTTACGATAAATAAAAAATAACCCTTTTAATGCTTGCAATGGAATGGATTTCACATCAAATTGGCTTCAATTTTTGAGATCAATTGTTGTCCTTCTAAAATGTTTTTTTTTCATTAGCTTTCAGTTTTATTGGGTCCATACGATCATGGACTGCAATGAAACAAATTTCTTTAAAATCTGAACAACCAGAAGATGTAACCACCATACTGAAGATTGCGCGGGTTTTCCATTTTCATCATCCTTAGATATTTATTTTTCATGCAGAACTCACGGCAATCATGGTACAATAGAATGCAACCAATCAGAGAAAGTGCTACCAATTTGGTAGCAGCAATTTCGTCGCGGAAAATTAACGTAATCCTCACAAGTTTCGGAACCATGTCCAAGAACAGTAAAATCATTATAAATTGCTTCTGATACGTTTAAATAAAGTGATCGAAAAACAAAAATGATGGAATTTAAAATCCAATTGAACCGTTGGAACTTAATTAAAAACACTTAATATTGCACTTAAAAACTCACGAACTTATTCAAGCAAAGACTGCGTCCACTATAATTGACTGAACACGGACTGATTTTGTTCAAGTTATATTCAAGTTTTCAAACGAACAATGCTTACAACAAAATTTCAGAAGAACATTTCAACGAAGAAATTCTTTGAAATTACTGAGTTCGTTCAACAAGATTTCATTAAAGAACTTCGTTAATTTGGTCACATTGTTTACAGTCAATCTCGCCATGCAAGGGCACACACATGCTTCCATTTTTTCACGCCATTTTTTGTTACGCTCCTAAAAAAATTTCACCTTAGATTTCATCACATTCTCTGAACAATACCGGTGAAGGAAAAGCATCCGATCAAAAAAATGGAATAGATTAATTTCAACGAATGCAAACTCGGATGCGAGAAATTGAAAACATCCTTTTGTCTCGATTTCTGATCAGAAAAATTCCAATAAAGAGACGTTTTCGTCTCCAGTTTCTTCATTTCACACCGAATAATCGGCAAAACTCACACAGTCCGAAAGGACATACATTACAGAAAATGTTCGACCACTTTAAATAAACGCGCAAAAATTCCCCGTTTCTTCCAACATTTTTGCCACTTTCACAAAAACTTCACTGAATTGTTCGAGAACAGATCACATTCCTGCAAAAACAAAAATGATTCATCACATGATATGATCACGGACTCAATTGCAACGTTAAGAAAACACAACGTGAACGGATAAGAACAATTTTGTGCCATTTCTCGGTTTTAATTCCACGTCCAAAAATCACAACGGAAGTCTTCAGCGGCGTATTAAAAAAAAAAGACATTCGCGGCCACGCCAAAAACTGAGAAAACGAGGCATCATTTCCCGGCACGCGAAAATTTCTTCTCAACACGCGAATCGAATTTTTAAAAAAACACGAACCGTCTCCTCGCAAAGCGAAGAAAAGTTTCTAAAAAAAAAAAAAAAAAACGGAACAACAAGACCAGTCAAAAAATGCAAGCAGACCAATCTTCTCAACTATGACAAAAAAGTTGAAAATGATTTTTTCCAAAGGCGTTTTGAAGGGAATCCGCGGATTACCGCTCAACTAACGTTCTAGAATCCCGACCGCGATTACATTCAGAACTTTTTCGAACAAAAACGGATCGTCAGGTTATGAGTTGAATTTCCCCGAGAAATGCAGAAGCGACGCGTAACTCCAACGGAAATCGTCGAACACATAGCAGATTTTTTTAGAGAGGCAAAACTGTAGCATAGGCCTAGTCTTCGTCAACAGCGGGTCATTCGACAGTATTTGTTTAAAGGTCCGACTGATTTTCTCCAAGAGTTGACAACGAAAAAAATGCAAAAAAGCTCACCGAAATCTACTTTTCAAACACATGAAAGCTACGGAAGTTTGAAGATCTCTCATCGAGATATCCTCAAGCGAGATTCCAAGCCACAGATAACCGATCGAAAGGGTAGCGATCAAGCGGGATTTTTTTTTTCCTGCAGGTTCCTCAACAATCCTACGAAGCAATTTAGCGCCTCTGAGCCAGTCTTGGGAGTTATACGATTCATTACCACACCAATAGCCTCCAGGGTACACAGTGATAGAAGAAACGATACTTCAGACGATGTACGCATCTTCTAACGTCTACATCCCGCGAAACGCTTAATTAGTTCATGTCACGCAGCATCGTTCTTCAAAAAATTTTCTCCGCTTAAATCCTGGCCAACTGCTGCAACAGGTTCGATGGTAAAATCGCTTCCATCTTGTCCAGTAGGTAGTTGAATGGCACGGACAACCAACTCAACGCCTGCATTTAACACAAAAATCAAGCCCATTACACAAAAATCATCAAGCGAAATAAAACCTTCGGTTTAATTAGCTATTAGTGATTTCAAGTGGAAATCGTTACACTGCACAAAAATAAAAGGACAGCTCTTCTAACCCTGCTTCAAGAAATTCCTTTTGAAAATTTTTGGTGTACCGCATTCACCACAAACTTCACAATAAAACATACGAATTCTGAACAAAACAAAGATTGCTGAATCATCAATCGTACAGTAACTTCTCGAAGAGCTTTTGTACTGTACAGTATCTTGAAGACGATGGAAACACACACACACACACGTTCGTAAGATACACATTGACTTACTTAAAATGTGTATAATTATATTACAGGTTCACAATCAAGCATCTGGAAAATTTCGTTAATCCGCTAATCTACCATACTACGTTATCATTTTCAATACTGTGTGAAACTCGTAATTACGAAACTGCCACGCGATTCGAGGATTCCATCAAGTCCACTTGAATAATGATAATACTAGAAGGTTCGGAATGGCGTAATTATTTTTATTTTACACATTCGAACAATTCATTGCGACAGTTACATCGGATATCAAAAATTAATCTTTCTTCGAAATTAATTTTATGTCAGACTAAAAATGCTGACAACGCAACGAATTCCGCCTAAAATTCAAAATTACATCATACATGCATGCTAGATTTTCCCGCAACGAACGAAATATATGCCAATAAGACAAGTAAGGTCAAAAAGTCTTTCATTAGTAACTGAAAAATGCTGTCAACTCACAGTGCGTGCGATGATGCCCATTGGCTCCGGATATTGGTGGGTGAGTAGCGTAAGAAGCGCCGTGAATGAACACAACCCCGCCGTGAAAAGTATGAGGAACGGCAATTCTTTTTTCGGATAAACGCTGACTTCATGAAACGCTAAATAAACGAACATGATGAAAAATTATCAAATAACTTTTTCCAACATGACATACATATGACCTTCAGAACAAATCCCATGAAAGTTTCAAATAAACAGGACCAAAGAACTCACAGGGCAGAAGCTCTCTATCCGCACACTCCGTGCACGTGGGATATGGATAAAAAAGATGTCCTTTCTCCAATGGATAAGGAATCATCCTGAAGGTACCCTCCCAAGTACAATGCAGTAAGTTAAGAGCGCCTTCAACACGCTTCCAGTGTTGCAAATGGAAGAATGCATATGCAATCGCTTCAGAGTCTCCCCGCTTCAGCAAATGCTCGGGGGGTAAGATCAGACTTTTCATCTCCAGTAAATACTGAAAGACGCAACAAACAAAAAAGTTTCCGATAACAATTTTTTCGTTTAAAAAACGCATTTAAAAAAGTCACGTTCAGGCAAGAAAATTTAAGGTTCAGGTCTACACTCGAGATGATTTTAGAAGCTTGCAAAAATTTCCCTGCCGTTGACGCCGATTTTGGAGCTGTTTTATTTATTTTAAAAACACATTCTAGGTTTCATCACACGTATGTCGTCTCCCAGAAACATTTTTGATACATAGTTGTCCTAGCTACCGATTTTGAAGAACAGTAGATAGGGCGTAATCGTGAACTGTTAGCATCTTCCAATAATTACTGCGGCGTACGAAGATCCGCAATACAGATGTACAGCATTTGGAACCACGCGAATCATTACACCCCGGATATACGATCTATTCAAAAAAATAAACCTTGAAACATTTTTCAAGCATTTTCACATGTTTCATCAAAATAAGTATTCGTCAATCCAAAAATAATTTTTAACAAAGCGAAGTTTACAACAAAATGTTGATGAAACACAGAAAAAATGATCACCGGCAGTAGTGGGCGATTCAACTGCAAGACTTCTAGCCATGAAAACAGTAAATTAGAGCCCACTTGATTTCAGGCACGAAATCAACTGAGGGAAAAGTTAGACAACATACCTTCGGCACGTGTGGATTGAACTCCACAGCGCGATGAATAGCCTCGACTGCTTGCATCTCGGCTTGCGTGAGACCTTTCTTGCTGGCAGTGTCTGGCGAAAATTTGTCGGCAACCGATCGTGCCTTAAGTAATGCAGCTGTGTAGCAAATGGTGGCTGACTTCGGAAGCGATATGTCATCATATTTCGCGAGCACCGCTTGAACATCAGCATACGCTTGCATTTCAAGCAAGGCTTCGATCAAGTTCTCGTGGATATTGAGTACACTCAGGATAGCTGGTACTTCTTTTGTTAGCTGCGGAACAAAATTAAGAAAATTACATTTTAATTTTTTTTCATTCGACAATAATCCGTGATTTGCATTGAAAAAAATTAATGGAAATTCGGCCTCATTTGATGGCTTCCTCGTACCAAAAATTATCTGAACTTTTTCTGCTTCGCCTCAAAATACAGGACTGTACAGTACTTACTCGGAAATACGACGCGCTGAAACTAAATGCACCTCACAAACAAGCAATCTTGATGAAGTATGTTGCAGTTCCTTTTTTTTTTTCCTTTTTCAAAACAGATCAGTCAGTTGACTACTCATCCTTCATATGTAAGCTTGATCTCTCCACTCCAGGAGGAAGAAATCAGGTTTTCAATGGTGGAGCCCTTGACCACATAATGGTTGTAACGGTTTGGTCAAGTTAAACTACGTACTCTATTTAATAAGGCTTGCGTCGGTGAAACCCTACGCACTTTTGTATAGTAGAGCATATGGCATTTTTTGGCACATTTTTTGGCACAGAAACAAGTATAGGTATTGTACTTCGATCGATCGAATAAAAACTTACGTCACGAAACATTTTCACGGCTTCCTTCAACTTGCCGAGTTTCCTCGCGCACATGGCAAGCCGACGCTTTATGTACACCATTACATTTGTGTCACGACCTTAAAATAGGAAGGAAAACATGTAAAAAATTTAAAGTTTCGAAAATTCTCTCCGCGGAACTCACGATGCAAAGCTTCTGTTTTTGCTGAATGATGTAGCGCCTGCGATTTACGATAATTTGCTTCTGCTGATTTCCATGCAAGCTTGAAGAGTCTCTCAGCCTCCTGCACGGTAGGTGCTTCCTCTTCAGCAAGTAGAATGTAAGCAGTAGCCACTTCGCTATTCTTCGCTAACGCTTCTCTAGCAGCTCGTATGCGAGCTTTGGGATTTCTTTCTCTCCACGCTGTTTGCATGACTACAGTACGAAACATGATGTCACGAATGTCAAGAATTTTTTCAAGAGATTTTACAGGAAACATACTTTCATATTCCGGTTTCCCAGCGTCTAGTTCGCATGTGAAAAACGTTTGATGATCCTGGGCACTGAGATTCATGTCATAGTACGTTAACGGTTCTTTTTTCGTTGCCCAGTAGAAGCGCTGATATTCGCAGCCACGTAAGAGATTCAAAGGGTTTCTCCATACTTTGCACTCTAAATACGTGGAATAAAAGGTTTACAAGGCTAATCAAAAATTGAGAATATGAATGCCGAAATACCTGGGACAGCGGACTGAGCGTTACCCACGCTACCATTCGCTCCACTAGAAGTCACAGTCCCATTCGAAGTAGTGCCAGAGGCTGATATATTTCCGTTCGCACCACCCGCTCCATTTCCACCAGTTCCAGTTCCGTCTGCAGAATTATTGTCTCCACCACCAAGCCAAGGACTCAAGTGGTTCAAGGAAACTTGCTCAATGAACGACGTGCCGTACTTTCGGAAGTACCACCACTCAAAAATCTTAAGAATATCATAAACGTGAGATTTTTTTTTTTTTCAACTACAATGCACGATTATTTTTTCTCCTACCAGTATGAGTCCGGATATCAGGGAAGACGTTCCCGTCAATGCGACATAGAATTTTGGCGTGAGCGTGCTCAAAAACATGGTGGCTGGAAACAGGGATATTTTTCAGTGAACACAATGAAGAAATTTCTGATTTAACTCACCCATAACAACATCTGGTCGAACGGCAAGAGCAACACAATCGCGTGTCCTCCAACAAACTAAATACTTCTCAAACAGTCAACCTGAAGTTCACAAATAGATTGCACATAAAATTCAAGAAACACTCGACGAACAAAATTTAAAAAATTGAATATATTTAGGGTAAAAAGACGAACCAGAAACGAAACGAACTGCTGAAAGTATTCGCGGAAAGAACGCCCGAGCAAAATTAACCAAATCTCTCGACCTCGACGTTACAAGATCTACACCACTACAATCAGAACACTAACATAGTCATCCCCATCAGATAATTCCGCATCTTCGTTTCTGGCACTCGCTTTATTACGCGACATGTTTCAGTCCTGTAGAGAGAACCGAAGTACAGTTTAAAATTCTAAGCTTCACAAGAACTATGAAAAAGTCGGAGCTATCCTAGTTGGGGGGACCCAAGCTCAAAACTACATCTATGTAGATGTCGCTAAGAACGGCGGACGGAACGTCCCAGGCAGCATCCATTTGTGTTTCTTGAATAATTCACCAACTATTCAACATCACTGTTCTGCCGTACCGCATGGTTAGCCTCGCCACTGGTCCAAGTTCTTCTTTACTCAGGTACCTAAGATACACTATTTTAGACTAATTTGAAAGCATGCTGTTAAAGTCAAATTCAGAAGGACCAAGAAAAACGTTTAGAAATTTGACAAAAATCTTTCAGTTATGGTGTTTTATTCGACATTGCTTGTGAGGAATCGGACCGGGGCTAGAAAAAAATTCAGTGTAAAGATATTTTCTGTACCGAGTGAGATGCGAGGTTCAATTGTAAGTTAATTTGATGCATCATCTTGGGGGCACATAATCTATATTCATCAGGGACATCACCCATACCCTCTCATTTTCTGTAGGTCATTAAATTTGTAATAATTTNTGTACCGAGTGAGATGCGAGGTTCAATTGTAAGTTAATTTGATGCATCATCTTGGGGGCACATAATCTATATTCATCAGGGACATCACCCATACCCTCTCATTTTCTGTAGGTCATTAAATTTGTAATAATTTTTTCCAGTTGTTGAGAAATGAAGCTGATGTGAATGCAGTGAATGAGCACCGGGAACACACATTTTGCGTGTTTCTGGGGATACCTGCAGTTGCCAAAGACTTGGTGAACACATCAGCAGGGGCCATGCACATACTGTAATCCAAAGTTTTTATGAGTAATATTTCTTCTTGTTTTTAAAGATTTGGCTTACAAGAGTAGTGGGCAAGATCTAAAGAAGATTGCATTCAAGGACCAAAGCTGGCTCGGGTTGATAACCATAGAAGTCGTAAGTTCGGATTTGTGTGTTGCTAGAAAAGATTTTATTCATCCTCGTATTAATTGTATGTGTATGTTTCCTGGAGATGCAACTTTATCGAGACATAAAGTCATAGATTACAACACTAGATAGATTACACTCACAAAATGCCGCCTTTCCGCGAAAATTAGAGCAGTTTTCAAGTGTATTCCAGCTTAAATGAGTTCAAGCAAAACAACCTTACGCCGAATTTCCGGCTTTTTAAGCTGCATAAATCTTTTGCATGGCGTACCGTTCTTTTTGAATTATTTTGAATTCCCTTTTTCACTTGTTTCTTTATGGAAGCTATGAAACATTTTTGACATTTAAAAAATTACATTTCCAAGCCCATACATCAAACATTTATTTTGTTTTGACAACTCATAGATTTATTGGCATGAGATGTAGAGAGGTCTTTGTCTCACGGATTTTCGGCATAGTGTGCACTGTGTTCAATTCAAACGCGGTGTACCTTAGGTACCTGAGTATAAAGAAGAAGTTGGACCGGTGGAAAGGATCGCTAACCATGCGGTACGTTAAGATCAACAGAACAGGGATGTTGAATAATTGGAGAGTAGGAGGAAGGCACTTTCCAGAAGGATGTATAGATGTCGCGAAAGAAACAGTACCAACTGTTTCTTGTAGATGGAGGTAGTAGTCTGGGTCCCCCCAACTAGGATAGCTCCAATACTTCTCAAACAGTCAACCTGAAGTTCACAAATAGATTGCACATAAAATTCAAGAAACACTCGACGAACAAAATTTAAAAAATTGAATATATTCAGGGTAAAAAGACGAACCAGAAACGAAACGAACTGCTGAAAGTATTCGCGGAAAGAACGCCCGAGCAAAATTAACCAAATCTCTCGACCTCGACGTTACAAGATCTACACCACTACAATCAGAACACTGCACACGTTTCCGAAATCGCAAAATGCCCATAAGNAGGGTAAAAAGACGAACCAGAAACGAAACGAACTGCTGAAAGTATTCGCGGAAAGAACGCCCGAGCAAAATTAACCAAATCTCTCGACCTCGACGTTACAAGATCTACACCACTACAATCAGAACACTGCACACGTTTCCGAAATCGCAAAATGCCCATAAGCGCATTCGCGATGCGTCAACCTCAACTTGCTGCAATAAGACTAGCTCTACACATTCATTCGGCAATCATGATTACTGAAGCACACAACGAATTAACGAGTACACACTCGCAGAGACAGTGCGAGAGACGCGCGCCCTTTGTTCAACCGGAAGGAAGTTCGTGCCACATTGGACGATGCTACGGGCGTAGTGCGATCGAACGCCGACAGAGGTCTTTCCGATGAGCTTCGCCAATAGAGGGTCACGGGAGTGAGCGAAGGGGACAAGATCTTGGACTTGACTTTTCTTCAACTGAGAGGTTAAAATTGCATTTTGGCTCCTTTCATAGCAAACCCATATACTATATTAGGATGAGCCATACAGCATTTAAAAGTATTTGAATGGTAGAGCACTTCAAGCCATTCCAATAATGTACAATACCTTGAATTTTATTGCTATGTTTTCTCATAAAAAATGTAAACGTCATACATATTTTGCATCAATGCCTTTAATAATATCTTGTACGTCAAATTAATCATTTAACTCAAGTTAATTTTTGTATAAAAAAATAAACGTAATTATATGAATGCAGTAGTGTATATACATACGTATCATAGCTGTATTTTGCAGCATAAGGCGTTCATAATTCAATCCCTAGGATACATCAACTCTCTTACATCAAACTTATTTGCAAGAATTATTTGCAAGACTCATGTACTCAGCGCGTACAATTTAATAATTATTAAATTGTACGCGCTGAGTATATACATGACGGTCCCCATATAATGCTTCAACCATGAGGTTAACTCTTGCCTATATACAGTACACGCAACCGCTTACATGAATATATGATGCACATACAGTATTTTATTGAAAAGAATAAATAACTCGAAGTCCTGTCTTTTCTGCATATACGTTATAGAATTTATTATTATGGTACTAAAATTGAAGAATATAGCACATAGATACGTAGTTATAGTATGTACAGTATACTTTATATATATGTCCATCATGGTTTCCAGATACAGTACAAAATAATGAATTTTATACAGCCCCACATGCATGAATATGCATCAGGAGGAAAACATGGTTATACAGTATACAGGTGTAGACACGCAAAAATTTGGTCTAAACATTGAAAATATTGCTATATAATTACCTCTGTAAAATTTTGCTGGTCCCATATATCAAGTTCAATTTACCCTTCCTATATAAATAAGGGGCTCTTCAAATTATTATTAATTTTTGGCTTGCATTTTATTGTTGTGCTCTGGGAAAATGATTCTAACGCATCGTTTACAGTACTGTACTTGTAATACCGCCTATGTTCATTCAACATGGATATTCGATCATAAATGTGCGTACGTAAACTACGTATACACAGCATTGAATGCTGTAAAATTGAAGGGTACCGTATCATCAATCATTATACATGAAAGTCCCCAACTGTCGTCCGAGCGATCGCTGGGAAATGATTGGAACAGCAGTCATTCCCTCGTCGTTCTAAGTCACAGAAATTGAAATGAATACACCACACAATTTGTAGCGTCAAAAAGACAAATGACGGAAGTTTCATTGCCACGAACCGATCAGATCATCGAACAAAAAACCGAAATCGCCGGAAGCAAGCTAAGCTCAAAATTGCATTGCTTTTCGCCCACTCATGTTAAAAAAATTTCGAAAAAAAACTAAACAAAAAACGTACAGCCATCGGAAAAAAAACCTGCGTTTACAAAAAATACCCGGGAATGTTACACCAATAAAAACTCAACGAATCAAGTGACACAACCGTCCTTCGAACACAACCAAAACCTGAAATTTCCGGCGCAAAAATTGAAACAATTTTTTTCTCAATCTCATTTCTTCTTGTTCCTTCTTTTTTTCTTTAAAACCGTCATTTCCTCAAGCTATGAAGCTTCCAACGAAAAAAATAAAATAAAAAAACAGCTCCTCGATGGATGATCCAAGGCGAGCAGAAGACAAAGAAGTTCACAGGAAGTATTTCTTTCTCGTTTTCGTTTTTAATGTTGGCGATCCGAGTATGTTGAAGTCCTTCCAAGTACGTCAATCGAAAGCACGCGGTCATGATTCCTTACTTTCTCGAGCACTGAAAACAGAAAAAAAGGTTTTGTGCTGAAATATAAGGGGGATCAAAATAGCAAAAAAAAATCAAACGAAACCCGATGACCTATACTATACAAACATACAAATTGAACAATCTTTTTCAAACTTCGGAAATATTATTTATAACATATACGGGTGATGCTTCAACAGTCCGTTTTGTTATTCTAATAACTCTAAGCGTAGTCCAAATCCTCCAAAATATGAACCCATTCAAATCATAAAACAGACTAAAGTATACAGCAATTAAAAAATTGAATCTCATTCCTGATATGCACAACTTATTCTTGATCACAGTTTTTTTTTTCCATGAGACAACTTTCAGTTGCCGCATCACACTGATGAAACTTTCAACCTAAAACAACTCAGCATGCAAATGGCGTCTAAAAGAAAATATGAACCTTTGTATATACAGAGTATATATATATATATATACTTGGATGTGTCACTTGGAACCATAAAAGTTCATAAGAGAATTGAAAAAGTTTTCGTTTGGTGTTCTTCCATTCTCAATTTGCTACTGAGCCATTTCAAGTCAAAAATCGGTTCATTTTTTTTGGCCCACCCTGTATATATGCTTTTTTGGTTTCGAACAACTTGACAATGTGCACCTAAATAAATCACTGAAAATCCAGGACATATTTCCGAGGTTGTGCCTTACGTTATTTCATTTCTTCATCTTCCTCTTTACAGCCAGTCTCGATACAGCAGATAGGGCTTGAGTGTCGACGGCACGAGCAGCTCGCCAACCTGGGACGGCGTCACTATGAACTTCCGCACGGCGAGCCGAGACAGATGGCGCAGCGACGGCACCGACAGGCAACAAGGACGGTAGAACTTGACCTCTCCATTCCCGAACCTGCACAAGAAAAAAATATTTTGCAATAAATTTGAAACACACAAATTTGATCGAGCGAAAACATGATGTTCGTTGCTCACAGCGCCAGGTACAATGCCACGACTTGTCGTACCCTCATCACGTAGGTGTCGCTTAAAGACAGCTATAAGGTTAGACAGGTAGGATGGCAATTTTATCGACATCTTCCATCCATTCTTGCAAACAAGGTTTACAGGTAGCCTGGCTCCAATAACTGTTACTGACGCGCAACGTGGTTATCACATGCTGAATGGTATAAGTGCTCAAGTGCAGCAAGTACATTTTGGCAATGATACGCAAATAGGCTCTAGAATGACATGATAAAAATCGACCGTGATTTCTGCAGCATTAATGAAGTAAGGAAACTCATCAAATCTTTCTGCGGAGATAATTTAGTCTTCAAGAAAATACACGGATTCCTTGAAAATTCTTTCACCTCTGTTCAAGAATGCCCAATTTTCTTTCAAATAAATATATGTTAGAAATAATTTTCCTCTATTTTAGATGACAACTACTGTAGTATGAATGAATAAGTTCCTTTGGATGGAAGTAGCATACTTCCATTTACAGAAAAATAGAATTTACAGGAACAGAAAAATTTTAGAAAGCAAATTACAGTATACATGTACTCAAAAAATTTCTTATTCATTGTATCAGAGACTTAAAAAATAACAGGTATTGAGTACAGCATTTCTCATCCATTACCCATACACTTTCAGTCTAAAATGTGTTGGAAAACATGTCTGAATGAAAGGACTTTTTTCTCAGGTCCCGGCGAGTTCGTAATAGTAACGATATTTTACTGGACTTCGAGTTTCCCAATCATTCGAAGCCTCGATGAGCGACATCTACACAAAATTTTCCATGTGTAACTAGATCGGTAACCAACAACAACCGCGCGCGGAACCCCGTCTACGCATTCTAATTCGGGTCACGCGACGGACATACCCCACAACGATGGTATTTCCCTTCGGGGAAACTGCGCAGCATTTGGCCGGGGCCGGGAGCAGCCTCTCCGCCACTGGAGCGTTCCCTTGTGACAAGTCCCATATCCTCAACTTCCTGTAAAAGAAAAGAAACCTTGATTTTGTATGAACAATGAGAAACCTTACTCATCAACGCTCGAAAACTTTCCATCCAGCGTCACGGTCAGATCTGGTGAGATTTTGAAGATATATTCGTGTTTACTCAAGCACAATAAAGACGCTGCATCGTTTTCCTTTCGAATATCGTCACATTAAGTGCCTGACCGTACTCTTATTTTTTCCCACCATCTGGCCTGAATTAAAAGTCTTACGAAGCAACTGACAGTGATTATCAAACTTCGAATGCTGACGAATCAGAGTGCATCAAAAATGATCCGGAATTTCACAAGCAGCACGCTAAAAAGGTACTGTACGTGTAGCGTAACTGGAAACTCAATAAGAACTGCGTCGTTGGGGATAAAAAATAAAACGACCAGGACATTTTTCACTCACTTGTCGTCGGACACAGTGGCGGCGTGACAGCCGTCAGAAAATAAGGCCAAGTCCCGGATCCAGCAGGAATTCAGTCCTGAAGCGTAGATCATGTGCGGGAAAGGAAGGATGTGGTACAGACACCCCATCTTTTCACCTTTAACGAACAATAATCTTGAATAAATATCAAACAGAGATATCCAGACACGTAACTCAAAGCTCGATGTACTGTATTCGATTTGATCCAGACGTTGATCGATTATTCAAGCAAGCCCAAAAGATATAAACGAAACCCTCGCATCGCCCCATAAGATCAGACGTAGTTGCTCGACCAGTTCATGAACAATGAAAAGGAATGGGACACTACAGAATACAAACACGGGTATACTAAACCACAGAACCGTAATATCTACTCTCCTCTCATAAAAATTTGTAATAAACAATGGACATCGCACGACGTAGACGCACAACGAAATTTTTTTTAATCCTTCCAATTGCGCTCTCATTCATCTTGAAAATTCAAATTTGCCATTCCAACAGAAATTTTTTAGGGCAACGAAGAAAAATCTGAAAAATAACAGGAAAATTAGCATACTATCCCATTTTCCCGAACAGCAAGATGAGATCAAAAAGATTCACGAAGAGTCCTTCAAAAAATTCGATAAAATTAATTCTTTAGCACGGCTTTTCCGACAGCAAAAAAAAAAATCGATGAAATTCATTCAAGGCAAGTTCCTATAGCAATTTAAAATCGTTATGTCGACAGAAAAAGCTTTTCATACGCACCAGACCGGGAATCCCACAAAATGACGGAAGTGTCGTGGGAAGCAGTGGCAAGCAGGGCACCATCGGGCGTAAATTGACACCGGACAATGTTGTTATGATGTCCGCCAGGAATACGAAGACAAGCGGCTTCTGACGAGGAACCACTCCGATGTTGTTGCTCCATGTTCCAAATGATGATCTGGCGACCGGCGCCGACGGACGCGAGACGGCGCCCGTTCGGCGACCAGGTTACGCAGGATACGGCACCGCAATGCCCACGCAAAGTTCTGTACATATTCCCATCGTCCATAAGATCCCACAACTGCAACGAATGAAGACAGAAAGGCTTTACAGTGCTTCAGTAATTTGAGGAAATCATTTGGAGACGTCTAAAAAGTTACATTTCCCTCGAGAATTATGCTCCATTCTAACGTAAACCCAACCGCAAACATCTCCACATTCAAGAAAATATTTTTTCCGATTTCTTCTTCAACATGACCCGTCTTCCAATTCCTCATGAGCCATACCAGGATATGGACATATTCCTTTACATACAATATTATGCCATTTTCTTGGATTTTTCGTGATCGATTTAGAAGTCACAAGTACGGAGAATTTCGTACAGCAATATAACTCATGATAACTTGACAAAGGCTATTTTAAATAAGCAAGGTCAATTAATTTACTTTTGAATTTGTTGAGCAGTATTTCTCAAAAGAAAAGGAAAATACCTTGATGGTATAGTCAACATGGCCAGATGCCAATCGAAGAGATCCATTCGGTGAAAAATCCAAGGACGTGATCTTACTTTTATGGTCGATCAGCTTCAGCAATAAACGACCTGCAAGCGACAAAAAAAACATTAAAAGCAGCAGGAATCTATTATTGAACACTGTAAGTGAACAATATTGTACAATGTACAGTATTTAGACATTCGGCAATATAGTACACTAGTACAGTATACTGAATTTTTGAATGAAAGCTAGGGACAAATAAACTTCCATTTGGCGCGACAGACTCGACCAAGATGAACTGAAGTACTCGTAAAAATACCTCCACTTTTCGGTTGTGAGTTTTCCTGAGATAAGAGGAAACCGTTTTACCGTAAATTTTTGGAAATTCTTGCGCGTATCAAACCGCACTTGGATCTAATTACAGGTTGATTATAAAATAAGGTCAAGTACAATTGAATTCTTTCTGTAATTGATTATAAATCAATGATTTTACTGAATGTTACTATTCAAATTTAAGCATTTCTCACTGAAAACTGGGGTTTGTGTCTTTTGCGGAGATACGTTTTCATCGGTTTTTAAATTATCAAAAGAGAAGGCGCGCATCTTACGCAGGGGCATGTGGTATTCGAGTAAATATGGTATGTTATGTTGGTGCATGGGGTTAGCCACGAAAACTGTTTTGATATAAAACCAAGCAGGCATGACCGAAAAGCGGAAATGACAAAATGTCTCATTAGAATCAGAATCCAATACACACCTAAAATTGTAGAAATTGTTTCAAGTACATCTATTTATACGCGCACCCTGATTTTTCCCTCTCAATTTTGAAAAAAAAAAAAAAAAGAAAGGGCGCGTCGCAATACGGTACAGAACTAAATACAAAAAGCCAAAAGTAACCCCAACTCACCCCTGGCGTAACCCAACTTTGTCCAGCGAAAAAGGCAATACTTTCCGCAAAAATAAAAATAATTCGGAAGTTGACTAGCTCAAAGGGTGTTGTTTCAACTCACCAGTGAATGCGTCCCATATGCGGATAACACCATTGACATGTCCCGTGACGAGAAGCAGGTCGGCGGCGAGCAATCGTCCCAATAAGGACGCCCACAGAAGCCCCTGGACGCCGTCATCTGGTGAAGCACAGGATCGGATCGTTGGGAACGAGCTGAGGCGGATGAGTGTCATGGAGGTCGGTGCGCCCGAACCCACCAATGCGGTGTCCAACCCAGTGTTGATAACGACGGGCCATTGCACGGCAGACGGAGCGTCCGGTGCGATCCTGCATGACAGAAAAACAATAACACAAGATTACGCTGTCACTTTCGAGAGATCCACATTCCGGGTGTGGTAGTGATAGTAATGTACTGTATGTGGTCGAGTTCCATTGACCCAAAGAGTGAGACGAGGCATTGACTCGGTTGGTAAATTGTACTGTATTGGGGTTACACGCTTACACTAGGATACAATATTCAAGTAATCCAATGACGTTTCACTCATGATTTTTTCCTGGAATATCCGATGTTATAATGGCGCAACTGTTCCTTTTCGAAATTCGAATTAAATTACACAAGTTCAATTACAATTGAGCATCGCGTTACGAGATTATAAAATGAACTAAAATAAATTAAATTGCCTTGAAACCTTTTCCACCGGCATTTTCCCGTTTTTTTTTCTTCTTGAATGGAACAGCGACTCGTCCTTGGAATGAATCAAATTTGTTGGGCGAAGCATCATCTCTGGGTTAATGATTAATTGCAATGCCTTCACCCAAAAATGTATAATATAGTCACGGCTTTCTTGACGGCCATCAATCATGCAATGCCACTCAACAGCAGAACGAAGCTACTTCGAACACGGACCAGGGAACAATATTTTGTAAACCCGTCAAAGGAACAGTGTTTTGAGCTACTGTACATAAAATTACATAAAATGCACATTCACATTCTGCTTCTCGTTTGAGTTTTGAGTTCTGTGGGATTTTTATTGAATAAGACGTAACTTTCAAGCATGCTATGGTAATTAGGCTCAGGCGAGTCTGGCTGTTCAGAAGAAAGTTTTGGGGAAAAAACGAAAAATTGATCATAAATTTGTAGGAAAAAATATCGCGAATACAGCCTATTGGACGGAAAAAGTTTTCTTTTTTTTTAAGACAAACAATGTTTTTTTTAAATAAGATGCCAAATAAATGCTGGACCAAGAATGCGTGTCACGGCCGGGTGTACACTCGAAAAAATCTTAAGATGCAAAGCTCCTGTTAATCAGGGGTCTTATTGTCTTGATAATTCAGGATTTTGTTCAAAAATGAAAATTATTCCACCACGCCTTGTGCGGTACATTACATGCAGACGACGAATTATATTCTATGAAAAAGCTGACGTCCTATCGATAAAAATCACAGATTCCTGCGTAAGTAATCTTTATAATTTTCAAATTGACACTAAATCAATATCAAGGGCAGGACAAATTCGAACACAGGGATTTAAATCATGTACAGTACAGTACAGTATTACTGTTGCCTAGTGACATACTTGCTGCAGAGGGTTCCCTGCCATGGTCAGACTAATGGTAAAAATTACACGAGACAGAAAAGACTTTCCATTAGAGTACTGCGTTTCAAATTTTCAGGTAGCTATAGGAGTTATAGAGGCAAAGGAAGCTTGCTCCTCACATTCGGACTTCACATTAAAGAAACGAACTGTGATACTCACACTTTACCCTGGTCTGCATTCCACGGCACAACGAGCACCTGAGAAGAGGATATGGTCCAAGCAAGGGCCGATCCATCTAACGCAAAACAGACTTGACCGAGGTAGCCTTCAGAAACAGAATTCGAGTTATCTTCATGCGCAACGGTCGCGGGAAACCACTGAGAGTGACGCACTCCCCCTATCGCGAAAACCTCGTCTAAACCATGCTCAGGCACTGCATCCCCCGCGTCGGTTTCGTTCTGCATCTATTTACCTTAATTCCACGAACTACCGCAAAAAACTTTTGTTTTTCTTTCCTTCAGAAATCTCTCGCGCTTCTACCTGCACTTGGACTGTGGAAATATTAGTATGAATTCCCTTCGAGCAAACCCGAGGAAACGTCCACAATGAGCCAGATTTTTCTTTTTTTATCGTTTCTGGAGACGTGGAATCACTCGCACTTCTGAACATCCCCAGTTCGCAGTTGGGGAAGGAATGAGGGAAGGTGGGAAACGCTTTCTCGTGGGCATGCGTCTGGGTTGCGCTAAGCGGAAGGGATGACCGTTGTCTCCTCCCTCCAACCCCCCCGACGTAAAACTCTCCCAGGGACTCCATACGAGTTTCTGCTGGGATGGTGCCATTGCACCCTGCGTTCCCCTCAACTTACCTCTCCTTCTGGGTGACCTTGAGGAGACCTTCCGGAGGCTCGTGCCAACCCGGCATACTGGTTCAGAAAATATCCCTGCTATTTCCCAAAGGGTGCGGGTACAAACGCTCAGTGGGAAAAATTATGCGGTAACGGAAGGAAGTGAAGGGCGGGTGAGGCAAGGCTTCGGAGTAATTTTCGGGAGAATTCACCTCCCGAAAATAGATTGTCTTCATTTTACAAAACAGCAGTGTCTTCGAAATATTAAGCTTGGGAATTTTTATGAAACCATTCTATCTCCAGCTTGACATTGCAGAGTCAGCGCTTAATTAATACAGTAATGTAAATATTTAATGTACTCAAGGCTGCAATATTACCTTTCTGTTATTCATGTCGGTTCGGTTGAAATCAGTTTTTCTAAATGCTGTATTATAACTCGCTCAGCATACAGCATCATAACGTTTGGAGGGAAATACTGCTTGGTTAAAGAACTTAGTTTCATTGCAACTCGTTAAATTTTCTGAGCCAGCATCAATAATATTTCATTATTGAAAACTATGAAAAGGGATTGAGCTGAACACTTCAAGACGTCTTCTTCTTTGTCAAGGCATAACTCCTGAAAAAATTCCTTACAATATGTTTATTGTTTCAGTAGGGTTGGATGACATGTTCGCAGTTTTTATAAGGTTAAGTTCAATGGACTTACAATAAGTAACTCTTCTTATCACGGCCAAGAGCAACATTACAGTTAAAGAGGTAGACGGGTTACCCAGGTTGCCAGTTAGATGGATTTCCATCAGGGTTACATCAATGAGTCCTTGCAGGCCACATTATATACAACAGTTGAACCTCTCTGAGTGGAATTTGAAGGGACCATAAAAATAATTGACTTATGGAGGTTTTGAGTTTTATAAAATTACATATTCGCTAGAGATTTTGAGTTTTATAAAATTACATATATGCTAGAGATTTTGAGTTTTATAAAATTATATATGCTTTACTTATGGAATCAAGCTTTTTTATTGTGGGAAACATTGAAGGATTGCACTATATTGTACATTGTGATATTCTGGGCCTCCAATTGCTTCTAAAAGCAGTTGACAGGGCACTCAACTTGGAGACAGGGATTCATTTGCCTAATCATAGTCTAACATTATGTCAAAGCACATCAAATTCCATTCTTTATTATTTTTTCTTTCCTGTTCCAATAAAATAATACCTAAAGGCCTCAAAATTTTTACTTATGAAGGTTTTAAAGGAAATGCCTTTGAGTTTGGGAGGTTTTTAATGCATTATTTTGATAGGAATTCAGACAGGGACTCACATGGTTCTGCGCAAAATCGTGCAGATTTGGACTTGACATGATCTGAACACTGGAATTTCTTTTTCAACATTTTTCTCATGATCACCCGGTATCCCAGAGGCCAGGCAGACAGTTTTTCAACATAATCACCACCTACTTTTGCATACTTTTTAGCCCTTTTGATTCTTGTGTCAAAAGTCAAAACAGAAACATCATCGCAATGGTTCCACCATGACAATCTCACCAACCCACAAGGCAAAGATCGCCGTCCGTTGCCTGAAGGAATCAGGCCTGAATGTATTGACACCTCAGCACCACCACCCTATATTGTACTCCTTTCACCTGGCCCCCTCTGACTTCTGGCTCTTTCCAAAGCTGATTGTGCCCTTATATGAGAAGCCGACACTTTCAAACCAGAGATAAGCTTGTTGCTGCTGTTCTTTGGGAGGTTCAAAATTTAACAACTGAACACTTCAAGGTCTGTCTCAACACATGGATCAAAAGGGCTGAGAAGTGCCTAGGAGGTTTTAGTTATTACCTTAAGTTATTAGTTATTACATTAAGAAGTTGTCTGCCTAGCCACATGGAACTATAGTGAACATGAGAAACATGTTTAAAAAATCCCTGGTGCTGTTCAGATCATTCCAAGTCCGCCCCAAAACTATTCCGCGCGGAACCGAGTAACCCCTCCTATACTGTATATACTGTACCGTATATAATGAGTCATCCAACGCACCAAGTACAGGTATTGTAAAAACCACCACACTCTCCCTTTCTGTTTCTCAACTTTCGATGCACATTCCACGAATCAGACGATTTACAATGTATAGTATAGATGTGATTATATAATAACGCAAAAAATAAATTGTGGTTTCCTCATTCACGCCCCACTTTATTGAATGAATCGTCGCCGGAAACAAATCCAAGGAACTGCAGCTGTTGAATTCACCTCGCGGAAAACAAGCATTCAACTTATTATTTTACATGCGACATACATCAGCTTGGGTCACAAAAAAAACAAGAAAAGCCTTTCTGTCAATTTTAACTGCTGTATAACACTTCACCAACAGCAGTGCAAATTGAAACACTGAACAAAATCACCATCTCAAAATTTCCGGAACCAAAAAATCTTGCAAGCACCTGAGACAGAAAATTTTACTTCACTGAACAGCAGAGGTAAAATGCTTTGTCAAAAAATGAGACCTCATCATAATGGCGCAGATAGTGTACTAGTAAAAGTATGTGGTGTTACCAGGAATGAGACAAGCAAATGTGCGATGCGAACTTTTCCATGGGATGGCGTAAGATTTCTCGGGAAATACAGCGTACATTAATGATGGAAGGTGGTTCGTCGAACGTGTGTATTATATAAGCCAATAGGTGACACAGCTGTCCCGTTCCCAGAAAGATCCTATATGAAACAGCAGCGGATTTCCGACAGGCATGCTGGAGTCTAGCGGGAATCTATCAGCATCAGGGGAGGAATTACAGCAGCAGTTAAACCAGTTCAAGTCAAATTTCAAGAAACCAGCAAAATAATATGGATTTAGAAAGGTTTTGAGTTTATAAGGTTTTGAGTTAGGGAAACAATGATTTTTTGTCATGGCTCGCGGGGAACATATAAGAAATTGTAAATTGTGATAGTATGGGCCTTCAATTGTTTTCTAAATGAGTTGATAGAATGCTGAAAATTGAGTCAAGGGTTCATTTGCACAATTAGTCTTTTTCTTCCTTTCAATACCCATCAAGTTATTATTTATTGCTTAATAATAGCCAAAAGGAGAAAGAAAATTTGGCAAACTGCCAAACTGGTATATTGAGAAAAAAGCCTTGGAGTTATATAGAGAGGTTTTCAATGCAATGTTCTAAGGGAATTCAGATGAGGACTAGAAAAAAAATTGACTTAGGGAGGCTTCAGTTATTGGTTGAGTTGTTTTTTTTTAATAAAGGAATACATCAGTATTGTATACGGTTTGTTTTAAAGAAAAGCAAGCCTATAAAAAACATTTATTTCAGCAACACCCTTCGAATAGCTCGCCCAACCAAAACGGATTAATTGCTGTTTTGATTTTAATATTCCAATACGACGCCGAACCACAAGGCTTTGATTTCTCATTCTGGAAAAAAAAAACCGGGAATCCTTACTGCATTATTATATTTCAGATATACTTATCTGCTCATCATATGAGCAGTGATAATTGAATGAGCCTCGGCCGTGATGCCAGCTAGGCTGCATGGATCACAGAGGAGATCGACTGAAAGTTCTGAAACGCAGTACTGAACTATTTAATTGATGGAGTACTTATATTATTCAATCATCATCTGCTGATAAAACATTCAAGATCTATTCCTAAAATTCCGCACCTCATCACCACCAGCAGCATCTCACATTTCGAAGAATACAACCGACACATACGCGCGTCAATTCAGATGCTCCCCCAAGAATTTAACCTCCCATCAAGTTTTGGAACCTTCCACAACGCGTCCTTGGTGACCTTGTCGTTTTCGTACCCAACGGAATACACGCGCATGTCAAAATCAAATAACTTCGGACAGTGCAGACTGTCCCCTTCCCGTCCGACTCCGCTGGTTGTGCGCTGTCAGTTTTGCATCGTATAAAAGAGGTGTCGCTCTTTCAGCAGAAACCTTTTCCATGCAGGGTAATTACATCAATTTGTCAGTCAGATCTCGTAGACAGATTAATCTTTTCTCATTTAGGTTTGGTCAAGTTGTATATCGATTATCTCACCATAAGCGGAACAATGCTTTCGTTATGTACACAGGCAACTCCAAAAGTGCACCATTAGCGACACCTGTGGACTCTGTGGAAAGCGGCCCTCCTGATCCATGCGTGCTGTTGGGAGCGACTTACTAATTTTCTATTGGACGTTCCCAAATAGATTAAGCGCTCCAGATATTTTTTTTAGATATCGCACCAGCAATCATAAAAAGATTAAGCGAATGTCGAATTTCACCATTAGTACAGTGCTACATTTCATGCTGAAGAGCACACTACACTGTCAAAACATTGCAAAATCAGGATGCGCACCGTAGGTGGACGTACATTTGGTCTTGTCATTATACAAGACTGAATTGCGATTTTTAGAGCTTCTATTCAACAGCACAGAGTACAGTACTTTGTTCATACATTACAATATTTACAGAGGCGCACAATACATAAATTTGCTACAAAACAAGAGGGTTCTCATTGGCGCAATAAATTAAACTAAAATGCTGCAGTATAATACTTTCAATTGGAAATTGTTCATTTATTTTATTCTGATCAAAATATTTTTCTAATCTAGAGTTTTAGGCCTTAATTGGCATGCATATTCTCTCCCTCCTCCAATTAAATTTAAGCCTCTGACAAAAGGAAGTGAAAGGACGGATTTTGCCACTGCTAGTACAGCAGTATGCCCGACCAGTGCTGCGCGTGGTTGCCCCGCCTTGTTCATCGTCAGTATTTCCGGATCTTCTCTCGCGTGAGGTAGGGCCTCGCAGTTGGGATGTGTGGTTGCTGAGTTCCGAGCGATTCTGCTCAGCGCCAATAATTCTTACATATCTCCAGATGTTTGTCAATTGTTATTGAATCCTTCGCGGGTTAATTTTAGTGAATTGTTCCCGCCCCGACAGTGATTCAACTTTCTGTGAAGGATGAATCTGTCGATCAGAAATAAAATTTATTTTGTGTTACTCGGGGGAACGTAATTTGAACTCGCCCTAAGCGTCCATGATCAAGTAGTTTCTATGAGGCGACAGTGAGCATAATCTGTGTATGATCCGCAGTCCGCGCATACGATATTGGAAAGAGGTTTCGTGAGCGTTCAGCGCGTTGTTACCTGGTAAGCATGATGCCTGACCAGCATGTGGAAGGTTAACATCATCGTGGAGATCTCGCTTCCCGCGCTGGGGCTCTTCTCTACGAGCGGTTAGTTCGGTTTATGTGTTAGTATTTTATCGTTAAAGAAAGTGTTTCTTCCTGTAGCAGAAGGCTCCGTGCGACCATGCGCCTATGAAGATTTCTACGGCGTGACAAATTACTACCGTTGTCCGCGTCAAGAGGACGACCCCAGCAAGATATATTGTTGTGGAAATGATTGGCATGCGAAGTGCTGCGAGAAGCTGTACGGATCAAAAAGTCTTAATGAGTAAGTTTCAGCCTCTTTTGTGTTTACGAAATAAGTGTTCATTGATTTTTCTATTTTTTATTTTATAGGATCGATGCCGTTTTTGGTATCCTGGCATTAGTATTTCTTGCGCTTATTCTGGTTGTCGTTTGTTGCTGCTGTTGCTTTTCTTGCTGCCTCCTCTACAGGATGAGAAAGAAGCAACAATTAGGTTTGTCCGATCATGAGCTTTTGCTCTCCGTTATTTAGAACATGTCTGCTTTAGGTCGATGTCGGGGGTTGCATGTGGACACGGTTGTGGACTTTCCGAACAATGTGCCCCTACCAGAAGGGACTATTCTTGGGGCACCTCAGGGCACTACGGCTACCTCAGATCATCCAATGACAGTTGGTCAGTGTTCATTTGAGTGTGTCCCTTATTAGCTTGTAATCTGAAGAATTTCTAGTTCCCCCCGTTTTAGTGGAAGAAAAGGACGCTCTTGTTCCACGGAGTGGATGAATTTTCGCTCTCTCACGAGCCGCGCACTTCGATCCCAACGTTTTGAGGATGCAATTCCTTCTCATCTTGTGATTAACCGGGAGTCATACGACGAAGAAAAACCTACGGTACAATGTATTTGACAAGCGATCTCAAGGTTGCCCTGAATAATTGATTACGCAGTGTTTGATCTGAGTGCGTGCACGCGCACGATTGTTGAATGTTCGTTGAATTGGTGCTCCAAGCGTTTTTCGGCTTTACTTTGAAGTTACCCGGTGGTGTGACGAACGGTTGAACCAGTTCTATGGCAAGTATTCATTGACTGAATAAAGTAGTGCGTAACGACCTGTTGATCGATTTTTCAATGTGTTGAACCCGTCGTCCGTGTTTGATCGCTCCATGAATCCATTATCCGTTACAGAATTGAAGAAATCGTTTTCGCTGATTCGTTCTGTGACAACTCCGCGTGCCTGGTTTTTCCTAATTGTTTACAGTCAATGTCGATGGAGAATTCCGTTTGGATTGATCAGATTTCCTTGAATCATGGAGGTTTTGAACGCGCAGATTTTCATTAGTGAAGCTACGCGACGACGTGTTCGCTTCGAGTATGTCGGAGGATAATCATGCCCACCATCATCACAGTTCTGATTTGAATTCCGCAATTGCTCACGTGGGGGTCATGGATCATTCTCCGAGTCGGTATAATCAAACGGACACGAAGTGGAGCAGTAGCTCTGAAGGTCATGCTGCAATGGGTCATGGTGTGAGTTGATCTTCAACATTTCATTCCACTTGATCTGGTGTATGAATGTCTCAATTTTAGAAAGCTTTCAGCTGCATTTGTGCTATTTATTCTGATATTGCTTTTCAAATCCTTCACCCTGAAATATGTTGAATATTCCGATTCGATGCTAATTGAGTTAAGGCAAAAGAGGATTACATTTTGATTTTCCTCAGCTCGAAATTGCATGAATCACCAGAATTCACTAACTCAACGTCTTCTGCGTCACACGGCGATCTGTTATATTTCATGTTGATTGGATATAAAATCAATTTACGGTACAGTATGCCTGCATTGAAAATTCGAAATTTTCAACAGTTTAAAATGTGGTTTTATTCTGTATCCACGAATGGTTCGTGTTCTACGTTGAAAATAATTGCCAAGAAGCGATGAACTTTCTCGCGTTGAGTGTTTGTTTATTTGGTCATCACTCCATTTTCGCGTGCATCAGTTTTTCCTTTTCCGATGGAAAAAAAATTATTGCCTTTCCCCATGGCATTAGAAAATAATCTCGCCATGTTGAAAGCACATGTCCTGGATCTGGATTCAATGGGACAGTTGAGCTTTTCCTTTTGCGCGAATTTTTCGTCCCGATGAAATTTCGAGGGGCATGTATGAATTAAGGGATTACAGGAGCATTTAAAATTCAAGTAATTGAAGATACAGTATTTCCTCAATTAATTGGGCAGTAGAGCAGCTTTTCTGTTTGCACTGTGCCTTATAAATAAAAGTATGCTGGATATACTGTATTTATGAAGTTCTGTCTATAGGTACAAGCAGGATTTTGGAACTGTGGTAATTTAAACCTGCGTGAATCCGATTTTCTTCCATAATTTTCGCAGAATGGTGGAAAATTAGAAATCCTCACCAAATTTACTGAAAATACTGTGCAGTACAATAATTGTATACATTTCTTTCCCGACATTATATACCCGCATTTAATTTTGTGACATGCGTCTCTACGTAAGGCTCTACGCTGTAGTTCCGGGAAATAAAATTGCAGGAAATTTCATGCTGTACATGTGGAATTTCCTATCTTGGTCCAATGTTTCTTCTTATTTTACAAGCTTTTAACTTGGTGAAGTTCTTCAATCAACTAAGTATTAATTGCCGTGAATACTTGAGCTATTTTCTGAATCGCTGTTTTACATAACGTCACGTTGATGTTAGAGGTCGACGCAGTTTTTCAATGCACATTATGTGTGCTAAACGAGTTTAGAAATTTTTGAAGGTGTAAGGCACAATCGACCGTCACTGAACAGTAGGATCGGCGACTATGAGTAAGTGCAAGTCGACTATCACTTGAGTAATTTCATAACTTGCAAGCTAGAGGGAAATACACCAGCGTTGATCGTTCTCTGAGTTCTTGGGAATTACCGAATACTGTATAATGTGCGTAAAACCGTGTTCATGGTTCCAGATGAAGATGTATTTTCACGGGGGATACGAAGAAATCATTCTCTTCAACGAATGGCGAATCAACAGCGTTGGAGATTTGCTTTGGTCTATGCTGGTCATTTTCCTCATGGGAATGTCATATGAGGGAATCAAATATTTTCGGTTCGTAAGCAAATTCATCGATTTGACATTTAATTCAGTCGATGTTTGCTCAATACTGTATTTCAAACAACCGCGTTTCAGGGATTACTTGTTCAGAAAAAATGGTGCTCAAATGGCGAACGCCGTTCGTGAGGAAACGAGGAAAGGAACAGTTACTCGTGGGACTTCCGCGGAAACATCATCGTGAGTCCGCATTTGATGACCTGATGATGTGGGGAAATATTTTGAGATTTTCAATTCCAGGGATCCGGATGTCGCGTTTGCCGCGGTTCAGTGAGTAATCACCTCTCATCTCTTCGAAGTGGATTTTTAAGTTCCTATATGCTTCCGCATTCTATATAGTTTTTGCTTCGAATGCCATTTTATTTTGCTGAGAAAACATGTTGCATGTTGTAAGCGCCGTTCTTGCATGTATCTGTATTCTGAATTCCTGAAGAATTCTATCCCTGTCTTATTCTGGACCAGAAGTTGGGCTCCTTTCCACTCCAAAAAGGAAATTTTTCCGATTTCATGTTACTTGTGTGTAAAGGTTGAACCTGTTGATGACTTTTTCAAATCCCCTGGAAATTTTTATTGCATGTTTTGCGTTCGAAGTCGAATAACAGAAAAATAATCAGTGGGTTTTGATCTGGCTCTAATTAAGCAGGCTGGCTTTGTAAATTCTGTCAACAATGCTACTTCATTTATTCATCCTGGTGTAGTAATCTTAAATGAAAAATCATCAAAGCCGTGTTCGAAATTTATTTTCATCAAGGATTTCTTATTTTCTTTACTTCTGTTTATGAAAAGAAGGATTCCTCATTTTCATCAAGGACGAATTTCTATTGTAGAAACCCTAAACCACTCAGGGATCATTTCAAATGTTTAAAAAACCTTCGTATCCTTCACGAAAATTTCCTGTATAGTATTTTGCGCTCTGACTTTGTACGACTTGATTGATTTAAAAACTTTACATTTTTCATCAATGACGTGATTTTCAAAATGAAACCCGTTTCTTTTTCCAATGGGCACGTGGTCTTCAGGTCTTGGGGGAGAAATAACTTCAAGGAAATTTTCATATGGCTGAAACTGCAAAAAAAAAAAAAAAACATCTGCTGAAAACTACTGTTTATTTTAGTGTTGGACAAAAAAGGGGGCAATTTTAGAATGACGATCAGGGAAGGATTTAGTTTTTAACCAAATTAATTTCAGCCATCTTCGATCATGGGAGAAATGACTTGCCGTTTTCATCCATCCACCGCATTATTGTGGAGACGAACTCATAGAAATCATGTACTACACCAGTTGCTAATCTGGACTAAGCCTTATGTTTCGGACGATGCTTCGTACAAGTTTAAGTCTGAAATCCTATCGTTTAAAATGGACTAGAATCACGAGATTGCTTCAAATTCCGTAAAATAAATTAGATGCATCGTTCAAAGAAGGAAACAGGAAAAATAGGTATGCATGTCGTTTGTGCAGTTCGAAGCCGCTCGTGACGCCGTTACACTTGATCCAAACGGTTTTGCACATCGTGCAGTTCGTTCTGAGTTACTGGCTGATGCTCATCTTCATGACATACAACGTGTGGCTCTGCTTGGCGCTCACGTGTGGCGCCGGCGTCGGCTACTTTGTGTTTGGGTCCCGACTCACGGTCGACGTGACGGACCACTGCGGATGACATGTCCCCGAACCCCTCTTCTGTCTGTTTGCCTTCTTCTTGCCTGCTTTGTCCATTGGATCGAACTCTTCGTGACGTGGATTCAGTGTGACGTTCGTGTCCTTGTGAGGTGAATGACTGTGTACGTCACTTTATTTTTCTGTTATTTTTTTCTCTGTACCAGTTTCCCCTTTTTCTGCTTCTTAATGCGAGAGATTCCGCGGAAGTTTTGCGAGTCACTAAAAGAATCATCATTGCATATTTGAAGTCAGTGTGGAGAATCATGGCTGAACATTTTTTGGAATCTATCATCGATCTTGGGAAATTAAGATTGAATTTATTTAAGAATATTAAGTTTCGGTTTTCGTCGTATGCCTACAACGAGAAATTTCTTGTGACTTGCTGGACTTCTTGGGAAAATCTTCCGAATTGTTTTTACACGTAGTTCTGTTCCGTTACCTCTTCGTTCTTCTGTACGTGGTACTCCGGTTTTAATGTGCGTGACCTGAGCTTATATTCCCCTGAATTGGAAATTGCGTAATTAGTATACTTTCCTGAATAAATTTTACATAAATACCCTGACGGATTGGCTAACAATATTCAGGTTGAGGATTGTATTCTGCGTTATTAAACCCATCTGAGCTTAGAGCAGAAGGGGATTTCCAATGTTTGCTTTAGAAAAAGGGAGAAAGGGCGATCATGTCTGAAAAAATAGTTTGTCCTTCTGGTTGACCTTTCAGAAAGGCTGTGGATTCTATTTAATTTGTTTCATGGAACAAAATCGTATGTAAGCTATAATTTATGTCGTTAAACTTGTTTTTTTTTTCACGCGCACAGATTGAATTTTGAATTTTATAGAAAGCCATCCAAGGTTTTCAGGGGAAAAATGTTTAGAAATCATTCAGTCCTTGAATTAGCTGAAGGGATTCTGTTTCACAAAATTCCGACGTTCAACATTACGCAGATTTATTTAGTTGATTGAAGTGAGATAAATTAGATTGTACTTAACAGGGTGCTTAAACTTTTTTAGTGGAGGAAAAACAATCCGCGGAAGAAACGCCAATTAGAGGCGAAAAAACCCTTCATACTGTTATGAAGGGTAATTCAGTCAATTTCTGTGCTGAAATTTATGGAATCAATATTATTTTTGACGTACCACAATTGCGCAAATTACAGTAAAACAATATCAAGAATATGTGATTCGGTTACCAAGCTTCTTCAGTATGGAGAACTGAACTAAAGGAACGCAATTGTTATTTCCAAACCACCGTATATTGGGAACGACTTCAAGGTAAAATACTGTGAATTGGTCTGGATAAGTCGAGCTATTTTTTAAAATTTTCAATTTGAAGGTAATTATAACGAGACTCTAAAATAGTGTTAAAACTCGCCGTCGTAAAGAGTCATCACATAAATTAATTTTTATAATTTCGACGAGACTGTATTGAGCCTCTGAATCTCCGATGTTGTAAATGCAAAACCTGTTCTTTGAATTGAATGCCTGACTAAAATTTCGATTCGGCATAAAGCAATCCTTCTAATCTCTACAGAATTATTTTAAAATCACTGCGCAGGTCTCCAAATGAGAGTGGTAAATCATTTGGATGTATTTTTCAGTTACAATTCACTTGATCTTCAAGGATATTTATTACGCAGGATGAGGATGCTGAGTGGTTTCCATCTGGCACAAACAGCATTGCACGTGGTTCAAATGGTGATGAGCTACTTTCTCATGCTAATCTTCATGACATACAATGTCTGGCTGTGCACGGCAGTTGCAGCTGGAGCAGCTTGTGGGTTCTTCCTATTCGGATGGCAGAAATCCTTGGTGGTCGACATAACGGAGCATTGTCATTAGAAACAGGAGTTATTCGGGAAATTTATCATTCGTTGATGCTATTGCTGTGTTTGTGCTTGCCCTGTTAGATGATACAAGTTTAGATGAAGGCTTTATGAACTTTGTGGTGCAATATGCGCATAGCTTCGGAGACAAGAAAAAGGGGGAAAGTACATGTTGAAGCACATCTGTGGTGAACCACGAATGTTTCTTCATGAGCAAATTCAACTGCTTAACGTCTGATTGATTAAATGAGCTGTAATGAAACATGTGAGGCTATCCTTTCGTTCGTAATTTACGGATTGTTTCTTACGCATAAATATTCATCAATATTCCTGGTTTCGAAAATCTTGATGCGTGCGTTCGGGGTTTATAATGGGCAGCCTTTTTCGTTTGAATTTTGGATTAATCTTGTCTACATTTCCGGAAACATTGAGAAACTCGGGGAGTTTTTTTTTAGGGTTGCAGTTGTGCATCTTTGTTGATTTTTGAGAGGTTTATGCGTCTTCGTTGGGATGCGCCTTGACTATATTATGCTATTTTGGTAATGGAACCCCGTGAATGTTTCTTTCACGGAGCTCCGTGTGTTGAGCTGATCCAAAGACGAGTGTGCAATGCTTGGGAAACGATGAGTATTTTTGTTCCGGACTCCGCACACATGGGATCTGATGGGAAGAGAAATTCTTGTTTGGTGCTGTGTTTCGTTTTGCTTATTTTTTTTATCCGTGGCTTTTGTGTGGATTAGTGAAGGAGCTGTGTGAATCTGTGTTGCGAGCACAACCTGTTTTTTTTGTTCAATTCATTTGAGGATAATTATTTAGTGTATCTGTACAGTATTATTATCGTTTTACGTCTGTTCAAGAGATGGAAATTTGCTCGTGGATTTTAAAAACGATGCTCTTGTCTATTACTAATTCAGAACAAGCCTTGATATACACTGAAATATTTCTGTGAAGCTCTTGAGTTCAGAAGTACAGTATTCGAAGGTAAGTATTTAACATGAGCTTCTGTATATATTTTCAATATGGAAATCGAGGCGTACAAGGAAGCAAAGATCGGGAGATGAACATTTGCACTGTATTTCCTGTATTTTTGGCAAAAAAGGGCTATTTTCGTTTCCTGGTTTTCTTGTACCCGATCTTGATTCACGCTGGTGTTACGGTATTTTAAAAAGTGCAACTGTCTTGGTTCAAGGTTTCTTCTCCTTCAGCATACGATACACACAAGATTACACTTGGAAGTTTTTCACAGAAATTCGGCATCAAACGAAGGATTTTGGGGATCTTGTTTGTAAGTATGTTCATCTGTCGTGCCAAAAAGTCACACATTGGCAGAGAAGCAAGCAATTTTCGAGACCCTTGAGCTCTTTATGGTCCCCGGCGGTCAGACACAAAACATGTTTTTGAAGACTTCCCCATCCAGTGTCATTGGAGTCAGAGCTTTACAAGGAAAAAGAGCAAAATGTTCAAAAAGTCTGCTCCGAGGTGGAGCTCAATTATTATAATTCTTTTGATCTAGTTTTAGAGTGTACGTGTGAAAAATTTAGCATCGGAAAAGTTTCTTCTTTGTGAAGGTCACTCATCTGGAGATTTACTGACGAAATTCAGAATAATTAAAAATTAGTCATGAATCGTACAGCTTTCAGATTTTCCAGCGAATTGTGTACCGTATTATAGAATGAATAGGAATAATTAATCGGAAGGCTTAGTTTGAGAAGTATGAAACACCACAATAAATTTATTTATGCATATATGATATCTCCAAATAATTGAATTTCAAGACTTTGAGGAAAGGGTGCAGGCCGGGGTGGTGTGTCCAATTTAAAATTTTATGAAAATGGTTTCTAGCCAAAATTGCCTTGTTCCCTATTGCTGTCAGATTTAATTTATATCTCCCTTTTTTCTCAAGTTTTGGATTCAAATAAATTGAAGAAGCGTCACATCATAGGTGTGAAGATTTTATGTCATTGTGGGTGACACTAGAAGTGAAGGCAATGAAGTTGCATATGCTGATTGTTATTGCTGCTGCTGGTGCACACTTTTTTTGTGATAGTCTAATGAATGCATCTATAATTTTGCAGGATGAAAGTGTTTCAGGAATAAGAATGAAATAGTGTTTTCCATAGTATACTGTAATTGAAGGTAAAATGTGTGACAAAGACTGGCACCAACTGATGCGGCAAGAATACTTGCGATGGTTTTTTATAAAATTCTGTAATCAACTACATATATTTTAATTTTTGGGTACTATGCGTCCACGCTATGATGATACACGCTGTACTCGAGTTTTTTGCTTGAATTGTGTCATCGTTATGTCTAAAAGCTCGCGCATGCGAATGTTAGCTTGTACTCTGCAACAATTAGGATCCAATCCAGTGGCGATATGCTGACGACTAAAACCATCCTATGTTCCATACACAGCACAGTACAGTAATAGTGATAATATGTAAAGTAAGAAATGTTCATAAAATTGTTTCCGAGAAAATGGGTGGCATAAAAATGAAATTGAATTTGTCCCTGTAAGTTCTGACATGCAAAATTATGTATGAATGCGTCCACCCTATGATACAAAAAGGCTGTACAGTATATACTGTACGCTCTAGGCCTCGTATACAAGTCCTTAGCGATCGAATCCTTCCTTTTGATCCACTCGCTATACAGTAGTTTAAAGATGGTCCGCGCGCTGGCTCTTATTCCAGTTCTATTGAGGTTTTTCCGAACAGTAAAGTCGGAGACGTTGGTCTTCGGGCAGCGCCACGTTACAATCGAGTATATTATCTCTCAACTAGATCCGGTCGACAACAGCAACACACAATTTCACAGACACAATACAATAAGTCCAGGATATCAGTAAAGTCGGAGACGTTGGTCTTCGGGCAGCGCCACGTTACAGTCGAGTATATTATCTCTCAACTAGATCCGGTCGACAACAGCAACACACAATTTCACAGACACAATACAATAAGTCCAGGATAAGAATACAATAGTGCTCGTCAAGAGTCAAAATCGAAGTGAAGTCTCTGCTCTGGATCTTGCCGCATCTCCTCCAACTCCTGATGGTTATCTTGCATCCGGTTGGTGTCCGGGTGGGCATTTGTTCATTCGGGTTTGAGTTTAGTCCGTTAAGGGTAGATGTCGTTTCCCGGAGAAAAATGGGTCACGGAAGGTAGCTCAGCAGATGAGTTGACACATTTTTCTAAAGAGAAGAGTAAGTGTGATCGGTGCGGATCGCGTGCGCCAGAGGTGGGGCCGCAAGAAGGTAGTCGTGGTCGAGACAGATCGGGTTCTCGGGGGCAAACCCTGCGACGGGGTCCGCGAAAGGTAACGCGCCGTCGGTATACGGATCCTGCGCCGTCGGCTGAAAAAGCGGAACAAGATTAGATGACCAAATAGGATCAGGGGGTTGTGGCAGACCACGGGCGGGGACCAGTTCCCAGGCGTTTGCCCTGATGATATGCTTTTCGGCTCCGACGTGGTACTCCCCTTTCCCCAGGTCGCGTATCACCATGAAGGGGCCCAATTGTTGGGTTCGGAAGCATCGGTCGGCTGCATGTTGGCGGACGGTCGGTAGTCGGGGCCGGATTGCTATCAAGTCGCCGGGTTGGAATCTGGGCCACTTCTTGCGGTTTGCTGAGTGGGTGAAGCTTTTGCGTGCCTTGGCGTTGACCTTGGGGATCTGCTGGAGCTCCTGGTCGATTGTGGGGGGCTCCACTCCGAATTTTTTATCGGACTCCAAGATAGATGGCCAGCTAAAAAAGGCTTCCGTCGGAGTCACACCGATCGCTGAGTGGAGGGTGTTATTGTAGGCCCGCACTGATTGGAGGATGAACTTGCTCCATGTAGGTGAATCTCCCTGTACCTGTTTGGCTTGAATCTGGTGAAGGGTTCGTATTGCCCTCTCGCAGCAGCCGTTCCCTTCGGCGTGTGTCGCTTGGGCCACGTGCTGCTGGATGCCCGCGTCACGTAGAAACCACTTGAATGCTCGGGATCTAAAAACCGAGTCGCAATCTGAATGAACATAAGTAAACAGGCCAAATTGGCGAAACACTTCTGCAAGGAATGGGATGACGGTTGTTGAGTCCGCGGCTTGGATCGGTTCGGCGATCATATACTTACTATAGTGATCTACCGCGATTATCGCATACCTGTATCCTTCTGCTGAAAGCGGGAGGGGACCATAAAAGTCAATGGTGAGTCGCTCCCGCGGATATGCTGATATGATTGGTTGTAGCTGTGTTCCCACCTTTGTTGTGGCTATGTTGTAGCGAAAGCAGGTCGCACAGCACTGGATCCGTTTCCAGACGTCCTGTCTGAGTGACGGCCAGGTAAATCTCTTCCGTAACGTTTGGTAGATGGTCTTCCATCCTGCGTGGCCCAGTTCTTCGTGATAGCTGTCAATGATTTGTTGACGGGCTCCCTCATCAGGTATTTCGCGGCCTTCTGCTGCGTTGATTGTGACCCTGCTAAGCGCATCGGGCCCCTTCAGGAAGCGGCCCGGTTTGTATGCCAGTTTGGCACGGAATGGCGCAAGCTTGGTTTTCAGATATATCAGCCGCGTGGTTTTCAACTCACCAAGTAGGGCCTTGTGGTCCGTGTATACTGTGAAGTCGCGCAGTTCCAAGTAGTGACGGAATTTTTTCGTCACTGCCCAGACGATCGCCAAGAGTTCCCGTTCCGAGTTGGTGTACCGCGACTCCGTGTCGCTGAGGGTTCTACTTGCGTACTCGACGACTCGAGGTTTACCTTGTTCATCAATTTGGACCAGGATGGCTCCCAGTGAAGTTGCTGATGCGTCGCAGTGTACTTCCGTGGTACGACTTGGGTCCATGCGTTCCAGCCTGGCGGAGTCGGCTAGGACATCTTTTAGGTGCTGGAAGGCGGTGTCCGCGTCGGTATGCCACGTGAGGCGTGTTTGAGGCTTTGCCGGTATCAGCTGCCGAAGCGTTTTCTCGGAAGCCGCAAAGTTGGTGGGGAGATGCGCACGTAGGTACGTGGCCATGCCCAAGAACCTTTGGAGCTGTCGAGTGGTGGTGGGCTTCGGGAATTGTCGGACTGCATCGAGGTCCTTCTCAAGCGGTCTTGTCCCTGTCTGGTCGACTTCATTACCCAGAAAAACAATCCGACGAGCTAAGAAGGTGGACTTCCCCAAGTCGACGGCGGCTCCCGCCTGCTCGAGTGCTGAAAAAACTGCATTCAGGTTATCGTACACTTGCTCGAACGTTTCGCCAAAGACGATTATGTCGTCCATATAAGCTAAACACCGTACATATAGGTGATTGCGCAGAATATGGTTTACCGCGCGCTGAAAAGCGGCGGGCCCGTTCTTGAGACCAAAGGGCATAACCCTGTACTGCATTTGACCTCGCGGGGTCCAGAAAGCTGTTTTGGGTCAGTCATCAAACGCGATAGGGAGGTGGTGAAACGCAGAGTGAAGATCAAGCGTACAAAAGAAAGCGTTGCTGCGACCTAGCGCGTCCAAGAGATCTTGGATGACGGGCATTGGATACCGATCGTCCTCCAAGATATTATTAATCCCTTGGTAATTCTCCACCATTCGCCACCGTCGATGCGGGGGGGCGTCGGGGTCGGAGTTCTTCTTCGCGGTGAGAAACGCCGGTGAGTTATACGGCGACGACGCCGGTTCTATGAGGCCGGCCTCCAGGTATTCGTCCACGAGAGCTGAAAAAAGAACATTCATTTCAGTAGACTGCCGGAACAACCGCGTATTCGGGATCTCGTTTGCGGTGGTGTTGAGCTTCACCGTATGCTCCGGGAAAAAGCCGCGGCGCCCCGACCACTGATGGAACAGGTCTGCGTGTTTTGCCATGAGCTGTTTGATCTGAGCCCGTTCCGCGTCGCTACCGTCTGTAAACGCGATACCCTCCCCTATTGGGAGTGTGATAGGAGCGTGATTCTGGATATTGCGTTGAAATCCGACGAAGGCCCGATCCCCGTCGATAGTAAGCGCAAGAGGAAAATGTTTGAGTGCCGTTCGCCCGAGTAGAATTGGCGGATCGGCGAGGTGCGGTAAAATCAGGAAAGGAAGCAAATATTGTAACCCTCGAAAGACAAAATCAATTTTCACCTGCTGAGCTACGGAAGCTGTATCGGTGGTTAGGGCTGTGAGGACATGGATAGAACAGGGACTCGGGGGGAGACCAAGACGATCAACTAACCGCTGAGAGACGAATGCGTGAGACGCTCCAGTGTCCACCAGAGCCGGGATGCAAGAGTCGCCGATTTGGAGCGGTAGGATGATTGGAGGGGGTGCGGCGAGGTCCGTGTCAACACAGTGTGCCGCGTTCACTGTGTGTTGCGCCCGTTTCCCTGTAACAAAGTGGGACAATTACGACCGATGTGTCCCTGAGCATGACAGTGATAACAGTAAAACGGTTTAGCCGACTGCTCGTTGTTTGGTGGCGGGGGTGGCTGCGCGGAGGCCTGGCGTCCTTGCGCTGGTCCTCCTGGAGTTTCTGCTGCAGCCGGGGGTTCCCGGCCTTGTTGTCGGATGAGGATTTGGCAGTCCTTGGGCGAATGCCGCACGTATGCTTTGTGGCCTTCGCACCATTGGCGTTGGTTGCGTGGATTTCCGGACGACTTCTGGTTCGGGCGCTGGCTGGTTCCGGTGCGCTGCGTGGCGTAGTTGTGTAACCTGTATCGCTCCGCTTCGCTCACCGCCTGGGACCAGGTCCAGTTCCTCTCTTCTATCCACTTTTTGCGAAGGTCGTCTTGTAAGCCCGAAGGGGCTGCTAGCACTAATTGTTCGATTAGCATCTTGTGCCGAATTGTTTCCACGGTAACGGGTTGATGGGGGGGTGCTATGAAGGAGTCGAATGACCGCTCTAACCTGTTGGCGAAGCTGACGTAACTCTCCCCTGGCTGCGGACGTAGCAGGCGGAACCTGTCCAGTTTGTCAAGGTGGGGAGTCGGATGTGAGATGGATATCTCCGCGACGAGGTCCTCGAATTCGACGATTCCGCGGCCGTAGAGGATTGACGCGGTTTCTCGCACCAAGGGTAGAGTCTTGTTAAGGAGGCACCACACCTTCATATCTGCCGATACGTTATTGATGGCAGGGGTCCGACGTAGGAGGTCCGCGTAGTCTTCGAACGTTTCGTTCTCCCGTTGACGCGGCATATCCGATAACTGCGGTTCACCTGGGTAGCGGTATGGAAATGTTTGACTCACGGGGGGCGTCGGCGTTGCGCTAGCGACAATGATCTCCTGGGACGATGGTGGTGACCATGGCGCAATTTGCAGGTCCAATGGTTGGAGGTGCCACCCCGGAGGTGGGATCCATCCTGAGGCGAGGGAGATGGGAATCCTGTTGCTTTCGAGTAGTGCAACGTAGTCTCCTCGATCGTTCCCGGTCGGTGCTCCTAGGCGGTAAGCCTCGACCAGGTACTGCAATGTCGGTAGCGGGATGATGTCCCACTGGCTTTCCGTCGGAGACGAGGGTGCCGGTCGTGGTAGTTCGTTCCGCATTAGGGGCGCGGGGACATCGTTCCGCGTTGGAGGCGTAGGGGCCTTAGAGGCTGCATTTCCCTGGGCTGTGGGTGGATTTGCGGGTGTGACGTTCTCCGCAGGTTCCGAAACAGGCACCGGAGGCACATAAGGCTGTGCTGCAGCTCTTGAATTCTCGGTGTTGCGTGTCATTGCCTCCGTGGCGTTGTCATGATCAAGGGTTGGAAACCGGACAAACCCCCAGTAAAGTCGGAGACGTTGGTCTTTGGGCAGCGCCACATTAAAGTCAAGTATATTATCTCTCAACTAGATCCGGTCGACAACAGCAACACACAATTTCACAGACACAATACAATAAGTCCAGGATAAAAATACAATAGTGCTCGTCAAGAGTCAAAATCGAAGTGAAGTCTCTACTCTGGATCTTGCCGCATCTCCTCCAACTCCTGATGGTTATCTTGCATCCGGTTGGTGTCCGGGTGGGCAATTGTTCGTTCGGGTTTGAGTTTTGTCCATTAAGGGTAGATGTCGTTGCTAAGGGTCTCGGGAGGAGGCCCTTACTGAATGGTGCGGGAATCCCGAAGTCATCTCGTCGCCAGGTGACGCTAGTGTGGGCAGGTCGCTATTGTCCAACTTCGAAGTGTGTGTCGCAATTCGCAACTGCTGGACGCATGGGATTGGCGATTCAGAAAGTTACATTGTTTAAATTGGTGGTCGTAGATCAGTTGCGGCTATTTGACCAAGTGTCTGATGGTTCCAACCCCTTGAATTCCGGATTGCAAACTTGTGCATTTCTTTGATTCTCGAAACGGGGTTTTCGCAGGCGTAATTGTTTTCCCGGTTCAATATTCCTGTTGCAAGAATTTGAAAATGTTCGAGTTCATACTTTTTGGCGTTGTGGCCTTCCTGATCATTCTTTGTTGTGCCAAGTGCAGATGCTGCCCTATAGCCAAGTGCAGAGCACGTCGAGAAATAGGTGAGTAAGACTTTTCTGTTGGCTTTCTTTAAAGTTCATTGAAACTGATTTCCTACCCTGATCATTGATGGCATTTTGTGGAAGTTGTCCTCTGTGTGGAAAATAAATATTAGCCGCCGGTGCATCAATGGTTTTAGTTACCTTATTCGATCGCACAGATTCGTTTAAAACGCCATCGTTGTGAAATGTGATTGCATTTTGTGTTCATACGGAACTACCGTATAAATATTCTCATAAAGCTGAAATGCTTTTTATTCATCATTTGAAAGAGTCTGTTGATGTGTCTACTGGAGCCATTTCTCTGTCATCTAAAACTTCCTTTCCTGTGCCATCTCTACAACTTTTCTTCGAATGCGTACTGAAATAGTTTGGTAACATCTGTATCAAAATCTAGCCCGGGCACAAGCTGCCAATGCCATCAGAGTGACATCCTCGGCCGCTCCCCCACAGCACATTGTTGGAAGTTATCCAAGCGGACAAGGAAAAGCAGAGCAACCTGGTCATTCTCAGCCGACCATTGTGATACAACACATAACCAGTGCACCAGCCCAACACCCGACGTACCCAGTTAACTACGTTCCGGTTCCGCAAGTGCAGCCTATGATGGGAATGTTTCCTACGTCTCCACCGCCTTACATGGGATATCCCATGTCACAAACGATTGTTAGCGTTCCACAGTCGAGTGCTGGTATGTTCACGAAGTTCTTTTCTTTCAATTTTAAATATTGAAACTTTTAATTCAGAGATGAAATCGTCGCGTTGATGCTGTCGAATCGAGGTTCCGTTTCATGAATACTCCAGGGTTATCTCAGGGGTTTCCAATGTTTCGATGACCTGAGTAGATACTGATGAGAACATAATGTCGATAGTGCACGTTGAAACTGAACGACGATCACAGGTTGATCAGAGATCTATGCAACTTATTAATTCCGACGTTTCTTGAAGATCCAGGGTAGTTCTCGTGTACATTTTCAATTATTGAAAAATTGATATCGAAGTTTAGCTGATTCCCAAGTTGACTCGTGCCATATTTACTGCTCGCCATGCAGCGCCAAATTAAAATTTTGTTATTCAAATTTTCAGCCCCTGGTTTTTCGGAAGCCGTGACTGATAATCCCCCTCCATACAACCCGAACTACAAGGGTTAAACTACTGAATGCCGGAACTCATGCGCAATGTCTTCCGTGACGCCACGCGACGATAATCTCAAAAGCCTTGCGATTCTGTATATCGTCGGTACGGTAATGTGGAGCATTTAAAAATGCTTATCAGTTGTTTTCTGAGGTTTCCTCTCGCAAGAGCTGACCGAAGAAAATCGTGACATATAACTGTATGCTTTGTTGTGAGAGTTCTGTACTTTCAGACTGTGAAAAAAATATGGTCTGCATCGCGAATGACTGGCAGGTTCGGAGCTTGAAATATTATGGAATGTGAAAATTTTTTATACTACTGCTACGTGCATCCGAGCAATTTGAACGATCTGTGAAAATTCGTGAACTTTGTATTTTTTGTGTTGGGCCATTTGGAATTCCTCTGCCTCTGAGATTACGTGAAGGCTGCATTTTCGTCCATGTAAGAGAATCTATGGCTTTCGCGTGCGAGATTTTTTCGCATTCTTTTCGAAAATCGACATTGTTTCCGACGTGACGACGGTTGGAGACTGGAATAGTTTATTTTGTTGACCGAGTTCGATGTTCCAAACTTCTGCGCAATGCATCAAAAATGTTGAAGCTTCGTGCACCTCTTTTTTTTATCTGAGTCATGCAAGTCGAGGGAAAACGCAAGTACAGTACTTGAGTCTGATGCTTTTTTAGATGAGTGGATTCTGATGACTGTTGATAATTTCCAAAAAGGGCTTTGTGCGATATGGGGAATCCTTTTGACATACAAATCTTTCTGAGTGATGACGAAATTTTCCTCTTGCAGACTCGCTAATTCCCGCCTTTTTGCGGATACTATGAGGTGTCGAACGTGCTTTGAACCAAAAATGGGGTTTTGATCATTTTCAGAGGAACGTTTCACGAATGCCTAAGGGAAATTCGGTGAGAGGATAATTGATGGATTTTTGTTCTTCAAGGTTTAATTTGGAATATTCATGCCCAGGTTTTAGGAGCGTGATGAGCTTGACCGTGTTCGTTGTTGGTGTCTTCATGTTTACTGCGATCATTGTCACGTGTATTCACTGCCCATTTTGTCCTTTCAATGTTTACATGAAGCAGACTTTATGCAGGTATTATTTTATATTCGTCATATTTTTTTCAATTCAACGCTATATCATGTTTTTTTTTTAAATTACGGACCAGTTTTACCAGAAAACTTTCATGGAAATGCCGTACATCAACTAAACCTTACCTGACTTGACCCAAACCGATTTAAACGGAATTCGAGCTGCTAATGAGACATAATCCAAAAGAAAAGTACTTTAGATCTCACGAACGGTGGCAGAGTTCGGATTACAGTACTGTATGTTGAAACAAGGAAAAATCACGGAGTTGGGTGGCATGGGCGTTGACACGGGAAGAATCTCTTCGTCTAAATGTAAACAATCGTGCTTGGCAGGAAAATCATTCGATTTTTCTCGTGCATTTGGATTGGTGTATGTTGGCATGTGAACCAACGAATTTAAACACTTTATTTTTTATTTTTTCACAGTTGAACCGAAACTTGTGATCCGGATGAATCATGAGTCAAATCAAATGGAAAGCCTCACGATTAAGCAGCGAAGCTCTTTACTTGATGAATCACGAGAGTGGGTTTATGCAGGTGCTTGCGTTATCTACGTATAATTTTTGAGTCCTACCGCTTATTTGGTTGGGAGTTCGCGTCCCTACTGTTCAGCGAAACCGACTGGGTATGTTTTCTTCTGATTTATATTCATAATGAGTGAAATTTCGATTCTTTTAAATGTTGAACTGCGTTTGTTTTCTAAATTTTCTAGCGAAAGCATTTGAATGACCTAATTTTACTATGAAAATCTTTGAGTATTTCAACGCGTAAACCGTTTGAAATTATTCGATTTTCTTACCGAAGACGATAGTTTGAGGGTGCGTCTGTGCTGTTTCATGATTTGAATCTGGTGAAATTCTTATTTTCGTATTGTTTCAGGTCTGTTTTTGCTGTCGCGAAGATCGAAGGAAAAATCTGGAGGTTAAACCGGTATTTCCGAAGGCATTTTGAAGTTCGTTGGCTGTTATACTTGTTTCAAAGTGGGTTTTTTGTTTGGAACTTTGCGGGAAGACTGTGATTTGATCTCGTGAGTGGATTTGCTGCTGGAATCCTCCGTACATTATCATGTGATTCATATTTCACAGATGGAGGGTGCTGGAAATTGTCGGTTTGTGTTAATAATTCGTTTAAAATTCGAGAATACATTAATTTAAAAAATTTCGAAACATCAGATTTTTAACGAGAGATGTCTTTCATAAACTGATCTGTGTCTGTACTCTTGAGCTTTTCAGTACGATAACAAATGTTGTTCTGATTGGTAAGAAGTTGAGTGCTCCGCTTTTTGATTGGCTTCACTGAAATTTGCTGACTAGTCATCCTGTCTAGATAATCTTCCGGATTCCATCAAATTTTGTTAAGATTTGTGTTGTTTCTCGAAAAGACCGGTTACTTCATAAATTCTATTTGAGCTCCGATGTTGGGCTTGCCGATTGGGGTACTGAAAAATACTCGTGATCATTCAAAAGTTTAGTTCTGCCGTGTTGATCTGAAAGTACAGATTTTCGGGTAAGATATAAGTGCTGTGTTATGTTACCAGTAGAAGCATTTGCGGAATTTTGTAACCAAAGGTTTCGCACTTGAAGACTTCGTGAGGAAGTGACTCTAAATATCTCGGAATGTGTTCAATGTCCGATTTATGAAAGCTAAGCGGGGTTTCTTTCGGTGTCGTTTGTGTTCGAAAATTTTCTCGCTTGAAATTAATTTATCCGTGTTTTTTACTCAACTGTTGATTTTCGACCGCACTCGTGGAAGAAGCCACGTGTAATTGTAATGTACCTCATAGAGCCATTTATCCCATTTTATGGGCATGGAGCCATTTCCTCGAGTCGAAACGAAACTAAGAAATCCATCTCCGTGCAGGTATTTTATATTACTGCCTAGTCCAATTTTGTACCGTCAGGGTTTGTATTTTCGTAAGCATTGATACGTATTCTGAGCTCCAATATCCGTGTTCGGAAACTTCAATTTTTTTTGCCGAGAGTGTTCTTCATTTCTAGGAAGAATTATACGGTGTCCGTGTTGGAATGCGTTGGAGTGAATTCAGGAATTTTGTTTTTTTTTATTCTAACGGTACTGTTCGAACCAAAAAAATTTCTATTTCCAGGAAATCACAATTGTTTTACGTGCGAATAGGTCGCGAGAGAGCCTGCAGTCATGCCGCGCGTTTTCATCAAGGGCGGTGTTTGGCGCAACACCGAGGTAAGAATTTAACTGCATCATATTTTTCTTATACTGTATTATACTGTAATTTCAACTTCGTTTTTGAATTTGAATCACTCACCATTTTTCATTAAGTATTGTGTCTTCACATTTGTGTTAATTCCGAAATCACGACATTCTTTTCAAGCATTACCGATGTTTTCTCTGCTTGTTCATGTGTAGTTTCTTGCTTTTATATTGGCTATATCTTATCTTACGGTTTTATGAGTAAAGGCGAGATTTTGTTATAAATACTGCTAGTACAAGATTCGACATCATTGCCCCGCAATTATGAACGATGGTGACAACTGGTTCGCTGACCATTTTCCTTTTTTCCCAGGATGAAATCCTCAAAGCCGCCGTGATGAAGTACGGGAAAAATCAATGGTCCCGAATCGCTTCACTTATACACCGAAAATCTGCGAAGCAGTGCAAAGCTCGTTGGTTTGAATGGCTGGATCCGTCTATCAAGAAAACGGAATGGAGTCGAGAAGAAGAAGAAAAATTGCTTCATTTGGCCCGCTTGATGCCGACGCAATGGCGCACAATTGCGCCGATGATTGGAAGAACTGCTGCTCAATGTCTTGAACATTACGAATATCTACTGTGAGTCTTAAGGTTGAACCATAATATTTCGAGATGTTCCATGTTGATGTTGAAGATTTTTTGCAAGTACAAATCTTCAATGTTTTGAATCCGATGCGCACAATTCACGGATTTTTATCACCTGGACAGACTGACATAATTATTAGTTTTTTCAAAAGCTGCTGCATTTTTTTTGGTAAGTTACAGTGTGTCACTGTACGCAGTTGAAAGCTCAGCCTGAAATATCGAGGAAGTATCAGGGAAGAGTAATGTAATGAAAACGTTTCATTAGAAAGGATTTTATGTCTTTGTTAGAACATATAGGATGTTACCGTAGTAATAAGTTGTGATTTCCACGTGGAACACATTTATTTCCTTGTGTAAAAATTATTATTTTATACTTGATTAAAAATTGAATCCTGTACGAATCGGGAACGTGGAGTCGTATTTGCAATTTTTCATCACAACAAATTCGTTAGGCTTTTGGTTCGGGAGTACTGTACTGCAGTAATTATGAATACAATAGTGGTGGATTTTAGTTTTCATCTGGAAGGGTTTCTCCCTTTTTGACTGTTCACAGCCTACCTGATTCAGGAAACGTGATTCTCGTAACAGTATCGAAAAATTTTCTTTTCAATGGAGTATTTTGACTTGTTACTGAAGGGAATTTTACGCTTTTGGAATATTTCTTCTACTGTGGGACATGAATTCCGTGTAAATAAAAAAAAAAAGAATTTAGAAGTCCCATTTTCATGTAATTTTTGGGTATGAGTTTCTTGTCTGGCTTCGAGGTCTTCACTTTCTAAAATGATGCTGTCATGTAATTTTCACTCGAAGTATTTTACCTCACTTGGGCCTTTTTTTTTGGGTGCTCATTGTTGTATTTCAACTTTTTCAGTGACCAAGTGCAGCGGAAAGAAGATGGGGAGGATGGTGGGGACGATCCCCGCAAGTTGAAACCTGGCGAAATCGATCCTAACCCAGAAACCAAACCGGCCCGTCCAGATCCGAAGGACATGGACGAAGATGAGCTAGAAATGTTGTCGGAGGCTCGAGCTCGTCTGGCCAATACTCAAGGAAAGAAAGCTAAACGCAAAGCTCGTGAGAAGCAGTTGGAGGAAGCTCGACGTTTGGCTGCGCTTCAGAAACGTCGTGAGTTGAGGGCAGCCGGTATCAATGTGCGGCTGAGCAAACGACGGAAGGGCGGCGTGGATTATAACGCGGACATACCGTTCGAGAAACGTCCGGCTCCTGGGTTTTATGACACTTCGAATGAAGCCTATGATCCTATGGACCCTGATTTTGCGAGGTTGAGGCAGCAAAATCTGGACGGCGAACTTCGATCCGAGCGTGAAGCGGTAGGTTATAAATTTTGTAGTATTCCTTGAGGGGTCATCAACATGTTGAATGCAAAACACACTCTCAAAATAGCGTTCAAATGTCTGTAAGTTCGAATTTTTTTTTTAAATTCAAGTTGGAAAAAATCGAATATTTTCATGAACTGTTACAATGAATTTAATGACTGCCTCTGGAAAAGTTGAAGGGGTTCATGTTCAGATTAAAGAAAGGCCTATTCAGTCCAAGTCCACGTTGCTTTCAAGTTAAGCATGTCTTTGTGAGCATTCAGTAGTGTACGTATGTTTTGTTTGGATTTCGGGAGAAGCTGCTTTCTTTTAGGTACAGTACGTAGAACTTCCAAATGTCGGTTTGAATTTATATTTAATGACCAAGTTTGTCCGTTTTATTCTTTCAACTTTATTCGCTGAATTAGTCGCTAAATGTTTGTGTAATAGCGAAGTTCTCGTTATTTTTGTGTATTGCGTCGATTAAAAAAGTATTGTGACGAATTTTGATGACATTTCTGCAATCTGTGCTTACTATGTCCAAAATGTGTCTTCGTTCGAAATATGTCTTCGAATTGCCCTGACTTTTCATGAAAATCATTTTTGGCCTCGCGTGTGTTGAGTTCGTCACGGTACTAATTTAATGCTGAACGCTGGCTATGTTCGGGTTTGTTCACACAGTGCCAATAAAGTATTTCTGTTTTATTGTTAATATATTTAATTTCTTCCGTGTTCATTAGCGTGAGCGCAGGAAAGACAAGGAGAAGTTGAAAAAGCGCAAGGAAAGCGACGCTCCTCCAGCAGCCATGATGCAAGGACAAGAGCCTGCGAAAAAGCGTTCCAAACTGGTCCTGCCCGCCCCGCAAATCTCCGAGACAGAGTTGGAGCAGGTTGTTAAAATTGGCAGAGCTTCTGAAGCTGCGAAGGAGTTAGCTGCTGGTGTTGTGGCCGGGGATGAAGAGGACGAAGAGAACATGGATAAAGGACCGAAGGCCACGGATGCTCTGCTTGGGGATTACAGTTTAACACCCGGAGGAATCCCCGGTGCTGGGTTGCTGAGGACCCCGAGAACTCCGGCTGTTACGATGGATAAAGTTCTACAGGTCAGTGTTTGGTTGGCGGTACGCCTACTTTTTCCCGAAAAAGGTATTTAGTTCAAGCGAATGATCGACACTTCTGCGGTCTTCCCGATCCAAAATTCAGGAAGAATATTTTTTAAAAGAACTCTGGTTATGAAATTTTTAATGCTGACAAAAACTGCTGCGTCAAAAATATCTATAAAAGTTGCAACTCTTCTGATAATTTCTCCCCTTCTCTACGCAGAAAAAAAAATTGTAGAGAGCAACATCCAGCAAATATTTTAAAGCAGGTCAATTCCATTTTATTTGAGGGAAGACTTTCTTCCTTTTTGGCGTACATTTACTGTAACTGCGCTCCTAAAAGTATTCGATGAGTTGCAGCATTTTTGTTTATGAAACAAATGCTGAAGTCTTTGTGGAAAATTTTGACAGTTGGTAATACTGTACGAGTATAGTAATTTAAATTAAATCAAGTTTAATTACCCTAATCACTGTCCGGTCATTAATTGAGTTCTGAAAAGAATTGCCGAATTTCGAACGCACGTGACCGTAAACAAATTCATCAGTTTTGATCTCTTAACGTAAGAACACCCTGATTAATAAATTACAGGATGTGCTTTTTTATTCGCTGAACGAGTTAGCGTAAGCTGGAAGAAATCAATTGCGCATTTGAGCAGCGTAATTTGCTTTTTGTGTGGAGAATCTTTCTCCCCGTTTTTCTTACGAAGTCCTTGTGTTATTCGATCTCAACGCGAAGGGGAAGATGCGAGTTTATTATTCAATATTTTGTTTATTTTTATCCAGGAGGCACAAAATCTGGTTGCTATGACGAACATCGACACCCCACTGAAAGGTGGCGCCAACATCGACATACCCGACCCAGATTTTTCCGGCGTGACGCCACAATCAAAAGCCTTGGCAACACCAAATGTCGTTCTTGGAACCCCTCTCATGAAAGCTGGGTTTGAGGGCGGTACCCCGCGAGGTGGTTTCACGCCGGGTTCAGCTCGCTTGATCCCTGGGGCCACTCCGATTCGTGATCAGTTGTCGATAAATTCGGTCCGCATGGGTGAAGGTGCCACGCCCAAACTGGTACAGAAGCAGTTGAAGGAAGATCTCAGGCGAGGACTGTCGAGCCTTCCTGCACCGAAGAATGATTTCGAGATTGTTGTTCCGGATGATTCGGATACTGCGGTCGAGAAAGAAAATGAAGATGAGGAAATGCCACTAAATGGTGTGGAGGACCAGGCTGATATCGAAGCGAAGACTGAAGCTCAGCGTCGTAAGAAACGTAAGTGACCCAAGTTTCAAGTGATGTAGTGCGAAAAAATATGGCCATTAATTTGAATATAATTCAGTATAGATTATGAAATGTATTTTATAATACAGTAATTGACTTCTGCTGTTTATATCTATATACATGTAGTCCAGTAACATAAAGCAGGGTTCATATATTTTTCTTGAATAATATGCAGTATTTTTTTGAGCTTAGTTACTTTATGCAGTAAGTGCTTTTTCATTCAATAAACTCGTCGAAAATTTCAAAAAAATTTTAGGTTTCTTTTTATGAAATTTTAAAAAATTTAATTTTCATTTTTACGTATTATTTCATGTTTAGGCGAAGCGGAGCTGAAGAGGCGGTCGCAAACAGTGCAGCGTGATCTTCCAAGACCGTCGGAAGTCAATGAGTCCGTTTTGCGTTGGCTCGCACCGGAAGCACAGGTGACGGAATTGCAGCGAGCTGAAGAGCTCATCAAGCAAGAAATGCTCACCATGCTTCACTTTGACGCCGTTAATGATCCATCGGCGAATCAGCGTGCCGCTGAAGCCAAGAAAGCTAAGAGCTCTTTGAGTTCTGATCACGCCCGATATTTGGATCAGTTCCCTTACGTAGAAATCAGTGATGAAGTGAGTTTCTTTCTTCGAATTTTAAACTAAATTGCGGTATTTCGCTATATGGAATTTTTTTATTGTCTGAACCACCAGAAACGTGAAAAGGACCAGGCAATTTTTTTTCTACCGATTTTAAAATAGCACTATACTTTTTTATAACTGTACAACGCTCAAAAATCCGAATTACCATCAGTTACTTTTGAGTCATGATCGTGTCGTAAAGTACAGTATATATTTTTAGTGTTATTCTAAGGTTTCTGTGTGAATGCAGAAAAATCTCCATCTGAGAAAATTTTGCCAAAATAGCAACAATTTTATTCAATTCTGCCGCATTAGAAAAACTGAATGACGCTAAGTTAAATGCAAACGAGATAAATCATGGCAGAGGGCTGAGGCTCTTCTTCATTTATTGTTAAATATTTAAAATATTTTAGTTGCGGCCCTTTGAAATTCATGCAGAATATACGCAAAGTCAAATTTTTTATTTTTATGTAATTCCAAAAAATCAGTCTACGAAAGAAAATTACTTTTTTGGATCAATATGAAAGTGTTCATCTTCGACATTTTTCAGTGTATAAAAAATTTGAACGACGAGAAATGTTGAATACTGTATTGTACTAGGATTATGAGTCGTTAAAGTATGTGTTAATAATGGCATGAATGTAATTCTTTTCGTGCATCTGACTCGAAATTTTCAAATCAACAGGACCTTGCGGAAGCAAAAAAATTGCTTACTGCTGAAATGCAAGTGGTGAAAGTTGGGATGAACCATCAAGAACTGCCTCTTGAAGCTTATACCCAAGTTTGGGAGGAGTGCTACAAGCAGGTCCTTTATTTGCCTCAGCAGCAACGTTTTACCCGTGCCAGTTTGGCCTCCAAGAAAGAAAGAGTGGAAGCCCTAGAGAAGAACTTGGAGCAGAACAAGCTACATATGACTCGAGAAGCAAAAAAAGCAAGCAAATTGGAGAAGAAACTGAAGATTCTGACTGCTGGCTACCAGGTATTTTTAGCTTTTTTTTGTGACGTGCGTAAAATTATTTAAAGCATTTGTTGAAAAGAAAAAAAATTGTGGATGATGAAAATTATATTAGGAAGATTCATTCATCCGGTATTGGTTTGTAAAATAGAGATCCTGATTGTTTTAAACAAGAAATTTGGTTCTTATTATTTTTCATAATTGAAAATTCAATGTTGAATTCGCCTAAATGCTGAAGATTCAACCAAGGTTGGTTTTCTGACTGAACCAACAGTTCTTTTCTCGTTGATCTTGGTTACTGAAGTGTCATCTTTCGCGTGAATCTCTGTTTACCGATATTGAGTTTATCAGACCCATCCTATAAAAAATATTGCTCAATTAACGAAAATATACTTTTCTTGAAGATAATGTTTGTATTCCATGTTCTTCTAGTCCCGTGCTCAAGGGCTGATCCAGCAGTTCAATGAGCTGACAAATCTTGTTGAGCAAACAACATTGGAACTCAGTTCCTACAACTTCTTGAATGATTTGGAGCAGCGTGCAATGCCGAAGCGTCTAACTGTGAGTGATCCTGAAAGAATTTCGCGATGGTTTTTTGCGATGTTGAAGCTTTACTTATGTTATCATCCTCACAGAGCTTGCGCAATGAGGTCGCAGTGCAAGAGGATCGGGAGCACGGCTTACAAAGGATGTTTGGAAAGCTCATGAACCAGAAACAGGCATTGAATGCTCGAGTTGAAAACCCACCCGTTCCTGGGCTATGAAGTTTCTAGTTGCACTCTCAATCCACTTCCATTTTTTCCTCTTTTTTCTCTTGTTGAGTGATTGGCAGCCCTGGTCTGCAGGTTTTTGTGCGATTTTCTGACTTCTCCTGCATCATGGGGAATTTCTTGTATCAATGTTTTGATGTTTCGGAGTTTCACTCTGTGTTGAAGCTTCGGCTGATTCAGGCCCGCATTCTTCCGTTGTTGTTGTAATAGGCAAGAAATGCGCTTGACTTGTTTCCTTGTATCGGATTTTTCGGGCGCAATCATTGAAGGAAAAGTCACGAGTTGTTTATTTGTAGGCGAGTGAAATATTTTTAGAAGTTTTCATCAAAATGAACTAGATGATTTGAATGCTTAATTTTTTCCAGGCTCTCAAACTTCTGCTTGAGCTTTCAAAATGGGGACAGCGTGTCGTGTCGCGTCGGCCATTTTTGCTTTTATGTTCGTGCTATCATTCGTCGTCGTCGAAAGTGAGTAAAGCGCGGAGGTGTAATTCATCTAAATTCTGAAGGATATCCCAGAAAAATGAGCACTGTTTTTTAACGTATTATTTTAAGACTGGAAGTTCAAAGCAATTTGGAAAGTGAGGTATTTTAACTTTTTTTTACCTTTTCCACCAATTATGCCGAAGAAAATGTAAGAATTTTCTGTATTAGCGTGGAGTTGATCAGTCAAGTTTTGATGAGCTATCCGAATAATTTATCTTACGATAGAGTAGTTGAAAAAGCCATCAGTGTTTATTGGGTAAAGGTGTGCCCACATGCAAATTTGTATTGGCGTGTCCACGAATGTGCGCGTAGAATTTCCGTGAACAATTCCTACGGATTATATAGTACCCTATTGGGGATATCGAAGATGAGAGAATTTTAATTGTCAATATTCCCCTTTACAGCGAACGCTCAGGGATTTGGAAGCACTTGCAAGTATGAGACCTTCTTTGGCCAAACTAAATATTACCAGTGCCCTCAGCCCGGAGATTCCCCCGAAAACAAGTACTGCTGTGGAACCGATTCATACAAGCGATGCTGTGACAAGCTTTTTGGGGTCCTGGATGACGACACAGTCAAGAATATTGAAGAGAAGTAAGTTATATTCGTATCTGCGAGTGGCAATTTCAGAAAACGTTTTCCATCACCATTAGCTACACTGCCGTTGCCCAATCATTGTCCGTGAAGAAAAGGTGAGAGCGATGAGTATTTCAAGCTTTGCCATCGTGGAGTCGACTGTTACTGCTGCCTTGAATTTATATTCGGTTACGGTATAGTACCTTGAGTACATTTCTTCCGAGTTTGCAAGTTTTGTGTACAGCGGTAATTTTCTCCTCGTCCTCGGTGTCGTTTTTCTTCATTGGAAGTTCAAAAGTGTCCAGATTGAAACGATTTTCCAATTTAAGGTGGTGGTTGCCGTCTGGTACCAGTTATCAATTCACGTTAAATGAAGCCTTTTCCTGAGCCACCATCACATAAATCAAATTTCAGAGGACTATGAAAGTAACTTTTCAACTCAGCGGTTCCATGAGTTATTTCTTTTTATAACGTGGGAGATCTTACATTATTTTGTAGTAAATACACGCACTGTATATTTGTCGATGCACGTTTATACGGCTAAAATGTTGTTCGCCTTGGTTTTTAGAAGTGTGTGACATCTTGAGCTGATTTCAGTTTGTTTCTGGAAGCATATCATCGTTGATTGTATGTTTTTTTTCTCTTTTTTCGTTTTTTTTCTATTCGCAGCATCGGAGTGATTGCCGGGATCGTCATCCTTGTTATCCTTGTTGTAGTTGTCTCAGTAATTGTTTGTTGCTGCTGCTGCTCTTGCTGTCTAGTCAACAAGATGCGAAACAAACGCAACACTCGTGAGTTCTAGTGATCAGTGGTCGAAAATTTTTGAAGCGATACCAAAAAAGTTTTTCTGGGGATTTTAAAGTTATATTAAGCTAATAGATTATATTTTTTATTCTCGTTTTCGGATTACATTTTAAAAGTATTATCCGTATTGATTTCAATTTGCCATTTCTTTGAAAATGTGTTGAAAGACCGACCATAGAGGAAAAATAACCGAACAATTGTAGGATACAATTGTTTCCTACGAAAACCCAAACAAACTTTTGAACTGAACTGACCTGACCTAATCCGAGTCAATTTTAAAATTAAATTCAAAATTATTTGAAGTGTTGCCGAGAAGATCACAGTATTTCGTAAACATTCGTTGTCGATTGGGGAAGGTCGAATAATTTTAATGAAGTTCTCAACTGCTGGGAATCTCTGTATTCCTGTTGAAAGTCTGAAATTTCGACTGTGTAATTTAGTAATAATTCTTCAGGTTGCTTGATATCATTTCAAGGGTATTTCATTGATGGTACGTCTGCTGGTGATCAGTTAGTTCCATGATATTTTTCACACACATTCTTAATATTTTATGGCGTTACGATCAAGATCAGACAAATTTTTGTCAAACGTAAAACTATTCCCTGACGCAATCTAAAATGACCGGCCGTCGTCGTAAATCGTTAATACCGATATAATGTGCCTTTTAATGCATTTTTATCAGGGAACAATTACGCGGGCGCAGTTCAACTCGCCCCGAGTGGAACTGTTGGATATCCTGTTCAGCAGGCGCAGAATCACACGCCTGCCCCGAATCACCAACAATATCCAGCTTATCCTCAGATGCAACCCCAGGCAGGTGCACCCTACCCGGCTTATCCTGCGAATCCGAGTTACCCAGCGTATCCGACGAGTGGTTATCCGGGACAACAGCCTCCATATCCCATGCGTGAGTGCTTTGCGTCTCGAAGTTATGTTTTTTTAATTTCTTGGTATTCAAGTGAATCTGAAACAAACCAGTCGGACATCAGGATTGCTCTGTACAGTAATCGTACATTACAAAGGAATAGCTACTAAGTTACGAATAGTCCCAACTAAAAATGCTACAAATTAAAAAACCCGCAGTACATAATCAACTCGGCCAGACTGCTGCATTGAAAGTCAGCACAGCTAAATACAGTACGCTCAGCTAACTAAAGATTGTGTTATTTGTTTTATGCAGAGCATTCATGAAGGGCGATATAAAATGGTTTTCTTTCTATATTGGGTGATTTTCACTCGTGTTCAATGCATAAAATGTATGTCAAGTTCGGAATTCAAGGACGTTTTGGCGATCCCTTCAACGAAGAATAATCGAAATAATTTGAATTTTCGAAAATTTCAGCGGAAAATCCTCCACCGTACTCGGATTATGAAAAGCCACTGCCGTATAACCCGAACTACCAGCCGTGAATCACGTTTATCAACCAGCTGAATCGATTCACGTGCCCTCAACAAATTTTTTGAAAGTGTGCTTAGCGTCTGTAGTTCGAAGTGAATGGCGTTCGTGCGGCTGACTACTTTATCCTGCACCGACTGCATCACGAAACGACGGAAGAGGGCCTCAAGGAAAACAATTTTGACAGTTTTGATCAAACCCGGGGGAACAAAACTGAGCCATCCATTGATAACCCGAGATCTGCCGATTCAAGTCCGGAATTTTTATTGCCAAGGAGGAGAAAGCCACGACGGAAGTTGAACGTCAAGTTCGTGAATGGTTTTGTTATTTTTTACAGGAATTTTTTCTTAGATGGCTCTAGTCCTGATTCTTCTTACTGGTAACGCCCTGGAATAAGTGCAGCCACTTACAACCGTAAATTCCTACTGATGTTAGAGTTGCATACCGAGCGAGGACTTCCTGAATGTCAGGGTTTTTCCTTTGTCCCGCCTGTGTTCTGAATGACGTGAATGTGAAATATTATTGACACAGTTTTTAATAATGAATGTTTATGCAACTTAGGCTGATGCGACGAATTAAAGAAAAATAATTGAATTCCGCGAATTTTTTTGGGTACATTTTTTCACATCACAGATGCACTAAAAGAACCAAGTGACAATTTAAAGAGTGTGGAATAATCGGGATTTTCAAAATGCGAAGTCAGCTTTGTTAATTTATCGTACTTTAAAGCTAAACTTTCCCCAGTTATGTTTTGCTTACACTTGTGACGTGGGCCTCGAGGACGATTTATTGCGGTTCATGCACAGTTGAACCATAGCGTAGAACTGGTCCTGTAAAGGAAATCACTTGAAAAAATAAATAAATGAAATCACCCGAAATCTGGAAGTGCTTTTCAGCCATCAAAATATAATTTAGAATCCACAAAAAATCGACTCAACACAGAATACACTGAACAAATTTGGGGAAAATCACAACCTGCTCTGGGACGGCAGTAGGGGAAGAACGTCGGTATGATTTCTAAGGCGACGTTTGGTTTTGTATTTCACGCTCAGAAGACACATTTGGCAGAGAATCGGTGAAGCCATGCGTAATTAGCATTAGGAAGATTGTATTGTTTTTGTAAAAGTGTGACGTGAGTATTCACAGCAAGTCAATTCCATCATTGAAATAATTTTTCCGCAATCTAACACAAAAGAAAGTTTAAAGCCTAATATGTCAGTAAATTCGTGCATCTCGCCGTAGCCATTGCTTTTCTGGGGCCAGCGTGAAATGTTTCAATGATGAGCTGATTTTTTTTTTTTCAGGGAGACGGGTTTTTTAATTTTTGACCAATCCTGTATTGTTGCCTATCAAGCTCTCTCAAATGTGCATATTTTCTACTTTATTTTGGTTGTTTGCAAAGTTTTTCAAATTTAGTGTGATGGAAGGGCGTGGAGAGGTGGGAGAAAGAAAATTTTCAACCCATGTAAAATGGAAGCTGTTGCAAATCGGAAAAAAAATCCAAATCGTGAATCACAGACCTAGGCACCGCATTCCAGTCCCACTGGTAACCCCTGTCTGAAAATCGAGTTTCAACGAATCAAAACTCTGCTGTCCCACACTTCCCCTGTGCTCTAGTGCTGCTTGTAGTGCTAGTGCAGCAGGGTCAACCTTGTGCCTCATGTTCATCACTTTGTCTATGGACAAATTCACTCGGTTCAGCTCTTCAAGTACAAGCTTCTCCAGGTCAAACAAGTGGTCATCTTTCATGGCTGGGAAAGTGGTGCGCATGAAGTCTGCGAGGCGCAAAACGTACTCGGCGTTGTGGCCAGCTGCACCATGACTGGTGGCCACTTGTCCAGCTAGGGCTGATAGGTCAGTTGGTCCGAGCCAGTGGGGGCTGTCGGGTGTTGCCATGTACACCATGACTTGGATCTGTTCTGTCGTGTCGCTGTTGTTCATGGGCCAGAACCAAGTCATTGCATGTGTGTAGCCACCCAATGTGCCTTCACGCTGCTCCAAGTATTCATAGGCGATTTCGTCTCGCAACTCGTATGCTTTGCCCCATGTTACGCCCTGGAATAATTAAAATATAAAATGGGTTTTCAATTACTGCATTCAGTTGGACCTCCGTTCATTATTTAAAATTAGAAAAAAATATTTTCCTGCTCTGCCGAGAAACGCTGGCTAAAACTGTAGAATTGAAACAGTTTTGAAGAACAAATGGTTTTGCTTGAACTATTTGTAGATAATCCAGTATTTTTAGTATAAACCTGACCATTATTGAAGCTTGGACATTTTGGTTGAATATTATTACGCTTTTGAAATTGAAGAAAATGAAAGCTCAATTTATACTGGGATTATTGTTGCTTGGACATGTCAGCAGAAATTTTTCAGCCTTTGAAATTGAAGAAAATGAAAGCTCAACTTATTTTGAACTTCTTCTGGGGATTTTGAGACCAGGCTTAAGGTTTAGTAAATCAAAGGTTGTTTGGCAAAAATATTTTGCACTCACTTCTGGCTCCTTGACTAGTGTGACCACTCGTCCCGGCTGAAAATACGAACATGCAATTGACTTTAAGTAACCAAATTTTTTTTGTTTCAGTCAGCAAATGAGGGTTACCTTTCCTGGGCGACCTCGGTGGGCCGTGTTTCCTTGCCAAAATCGTCGAGAGAAACCCTTGATGCAGCCAGAAATTTCCTTTTCATACGGGAATCCAGGGTACCAGCATAAAGAGCCGTATCCGAATACCCATAGTTTTTTCCCTTGTTTCCTCTCAGTCCCAGTGTGTCCTGGATTTTGAGCCATGATGAGCTCAGTTCAAAGCTGCCAAGTGCTGCTTTGAAACGTGCGACTCACTACTGGGTGGCATTCAGTTGAAGGAAAAATCACTGCACTTCCAGGGCTTCTCTCCCAAGTCAGGAGAGCGTTCCGCGGAACAAGCCCTATTTTTTTCTTGTTTTCGACCCTGAAATTAAACCATTGCTTGAAATTGAAGTCAAAGCAACAACTCAAGACTTGTTAATTCAGTAAAAAGTGACATTAATATTGCCATAATTTCAACATTCCCACGAAATTTTTTTGGAAACCTTTGCTGTCATGCTTGAGGAACAACAACGCGAGAAAGACTTCATTCTTGTCAAAGAAAATTTTCACATTTGTTATTTAACGAATAATATTTTCCCCTGGCGAAATATTGATGAATCTTTAGTTCAAAAACATTGAGTCCAAAAATGTGAACTTATTTTATCGTTTGGATCAGAAAAATGTAGGAACAATCCTGAGGCTTCGATCTGTAATGAACTCCTGTTCTGACTGGTGGATATGATTGGCAGAGAAATCTCGCCTGAGTTTCCCAGGATACGTCAAGAGTTGACTTCCGTGGAAAATGAAAAGAATCACAATCCCAGATTAGCTTAATACATCCAGCCAACAATGACCAATCTACATTTTCTCACTGAGTTTATATGTAACAGTAGAGGACAAGAAAAAAATATGACCATGCGCAGATCATTTGTGTTGAACCAAAGGTGTGTGTGTGTGTGCGTGTGCTACAGATGTCAAATATGTTCCTTTTGTCCAACCCTTGTATTGCTTGAGGCCTGTCAGTCCAATTACAACATTTTCTCTTATTTGTTCTGGATTACTGCTATTTACCTTGGGGATTAGTCTTGCAATGTTTCAAGGAACCAGATTGTGTGTGACAGTCTGTCAAACCAGTCTTCTCATTGAGCATTATCAGTACTGGAGAGTTTATTTCTGTATAATGAATGCCTTATCTGGGGCAACCTTGTTTCAGTGGCCCTTTTCTAGCTTTATGGCAGCAGCCAAGTTAAATTCAGAGCCACTAGAATTGTTCTTGGGTGTTGGGTTGGAAAAAAATCTGTATGTCATAATCGAATTACAGTACCTTCGAAAAAAAAAACTCGGGGTTTTTTTCAAGGAGGGACTGGAAAATAAACTTGCAGGGGGAAATCTCACCAATTCAGAATACCAATTGGACTGAGAGAGTTAGATTTTGGAATGGTCTGATTAGTGAACTGACTAAAGTCAACTTAAATTTAAAATTTTCCAAACTGTGGAATTTGAAATAAATAGCGGGAATGTTTGCATGAATGCAACTTGGAGCTTGGCTAAACATACTGTAGTTCCCTGTTGAATTTTATTAATAATAAAAGTATGCAGAAATGTTGGGCAATTCAGGTAAAACTTTCCATCACACTGCAAATTTTCCTAATACTGTTCTGTAACAGGAAAATTTTGACTTTGTCTTATTAATGACAGGCTTGAAGATCCAATGGAAACTTTTTAAAAAAAAAAGGACTTTCAAATTTAATAAAATGAACGGAATCTTTTCATGGATGAACTCTGATCTTAGCCAAACAAACCTTAGTTCTCTGTTGAATTTTAATAAAATTAAAAGCATTTGAAATTTTTTTTGACAATTGAACTGAAACTTTCCCTCGCAATAATATCAGTTTTATTTTCACTGGAAAAGAGATTGTGACATTTCCCTGAAATAGTTCCGCAATTGCAAGGAAATACACTCTTTGGAATTGACTTTCAAAATTCAAAATGTCGCACAAAATTCCGAAAAATTGTTTCGCCAATTCAATTACAATTCTCACTGAAACTAGTTTTATTTTTACTGTTAATATGTGTTTTGTTATCACCAAAATTCCTGATTTGAAAAAATTCCACGATCAAATCACTCAGTTTGGCATTGTCTACCAAAATTTATTATGCCTCACAAGATGTTGCTCACACCAAGCCGACACCCTTCACTGGAGCCAAGTGCCTTCACCCAAGCTGGCTGAAAACAACTGGCTTCCTAGCATTCCACAACTCACCCCCTCCCTTCCCGGGGAATAGTGTGCAGCTGTGTGTTTCTGGCTGATGCAAGAAACTTCCCCTGTTACTGAACCTGCGATTCTCGGGGAGTTCCGCAGTCCCTCCCCAGCTCCGTATGCCAGTGCTTGGGGAAAGAAAGACGAGAGGGAGAGAGTTGAACCTGTCTCTCGTGTCTCTCTCTCTCTCTCTCTCTCTCTCTCCCCGTAGCGCCGGCTTCGAGGGTATTCGGATTCTCTGGTCAAAAATAGACGCAAGAAGGGAAATTCTGGTCTGCTTACAAGTACTCAACACACCCTTTGCATCGAGGGAGTCCTTTGCCCTCCCCCCCCCCCAACCTTGTTCACGGAGCAACATTTCAAGTTTTTTTTTTTTTAGACAAATGGAAGAAATTGAAAGTAAACTTGTGGAGGAACATTCAACACTCGTCGCATGAGGAAAGTAGTTTTTTTTTAAAGCAAAATGTCGTCTTCGTCTCATAACCGAATGGAATGAAACACAGTCGAATTAAATAGACAATTTTATATAATGATAAAAACCGAACTTCTGCATAAGCGCTGACGAAAAAAGGGGGAATATTCTCATTAATGCAAGTCAAGTACTGGCCAAGATTGTTTAAATTTAAAAAATGTTTGAAAAAAAATGTTCTGCAATTTTTTCATCGTTCAACTTGAACTTTCCCTCACCGATATACAGTATGTATTATAAGTGTAAGGCTGGTCCACTGTGCAAATGTCTGTGTTACACTACTACCTCGTTTTGTCCAGGGGCTGGAATGACAAAGAAAATTATCTTGGACTAACAATATTGAATGCAAGTTATTGTTGATGTTTTGCGCATATTTTTCCCTGTAAAACGTGCTGTTGTTTAAAATTCTGATTTCAAAATGGATAGGGTGAAATTAATGTTGTAGATTTGTGTCATTTTAAAACTAATTGGGTAAAACGAGCACTTCCTGGAAGACACTAGTGAAAATTTTTTTATCGATAAAGATAAACTGACCTTGGTGCGAGTTGGATTCAGTACAGTACAGTATTCGTATTAACGCACGCGTCACTTATCTTTCAAACAGTGTTAGAGGGTCACTCATCGGTAGAAACAATGCTTGAGGGCCACTTCCAATTCGAAACTGTGTTTGTGGGTGGTCTCCATGGTGGCCGTTGTCACTGTTGAATACCTCGAGTTCCTTAGATTCGGTAGGTTTCATTTGCAAGATTGCATTAGGTTTATAGATTCAAGACCACCGGTGTCCATATAAGTGACCCGACATAGTCTCTCAATTCCTAGTGGAGCTGCGTGAACTGCTGAAGCTGCTACCAGTGTACTTACCCCCCCCCCCCTAAAAATGCAACAAGTTCTGTCAAATTTCTCCTCAAATGCAGAACCAATGAACTTACTGAATCTTACTTTTTAAGGATATCCCCTCTCATCGACATTCTGACATTGCCACAACCCAGAACCGGTTGGAGTTGCCTCACTGCTTCCTTCTCTGCTCTGCCGTTACACTATCTAATTTTTTGACAAGGACAACCTCTTGAAATTATGTTAGAGAAAAAAATTGGCTCATTCAACAATATATCACGCGTGGAAGATCCCTGAATTGGTGTTGGAAAATATTTGGACTTTGAGTAACCATTTACTGGAGAACCATCAAAATCATCTTTAAAAATGGGAGACAGTCGTAGGAGTTATTCAGTAATAACCGAAGGCATGCTTGAAATATTACCTAGAGTTTGGGCGGGCAAATTTAATTTCCTGACATGATTCTCACTTTTGTCTTGCGGTGCATCTTTCGCTGGAACGAAACTTGAAGTGACTTGTCTCGATAATTGCGTGTTTGTCACTTTTTGTTGGTAAAATCCTTACGAAAATAAAGACGTCACTTGTTTTAACCCTGCTAAATTTGCGATTTCAACGTTTTTTATTTTCCACGAAAGCTGTTCAATTTGTTAATCTCCGAAAATCAGTTTAAACGAGAGCTCAAATATTTGGAGAATCTTGAGGAGTAAATCGTCTGTGTTAATTTTTTTAATGCTTTATCCGTCGCCGAAATGTGTCTTTTTGCTTGGATCAACGTTTCGGCAGGTTCACTCGTAATTCTGCAAGTTCTTTCTTTTCATGGGTCTTTTGAATCTCACGTGTTTGCATCAGTTGTTTCAGGGAAATTCGGGAAAAAAATATCAAGAAGTGAATGGGCGTGTTTCACATGCCAGTTGCCTTGCATGTTTTCTTCTGAGAGGACTTGCCTATGGTTCTTTCGTTTTTGTACACATTCGTGCTATTTTGAAGAAAGGACGGGAGGCTTAAATGTTGGAAGGATTTTTTTTTTCAGTGAAAGAAAGATTTGTTTTTTTTTTCTAGTGGAAGATTTATGAAATGTTTGAATGATCGGTTCATGTGCTTGCTTGTCATTGTCGTCGTTCTTGCCGCGAAAATGAAATTCTCGCTTGACTTGAAGGAAAAATTACAAGGCGCAAAATGAACTTTTCGTTTGTGCGTGGGTAATGTTTATGGTTGATCGACACGACTGGGGAACTGTTTTCCAGGGCTAAAATTGAGAATGCGTGACATTTCTGACGCCCGAAAAATATCCTATGCGTGACCAATTTTATGACGTTCCGTTAAATGTGAAAAAAATTGAAGGAGTAAACTCTAACGAATGGGAAAGAATAATGGAGAAATCAGTGATTTCGATTCTGATTTTTTAAAAATCTGTTTCTGTAGACCATTTTATTTGCCAATACAAAATGCGTAAATTTCGCCTAAATTAGTTTAGTGCCTTGGGTCTAAATTGAATTAAGTGGGTAAAATGCGGCGTGCGAAGTGAACAACACGAATGCAAGAAAATGATTAAGTACCGTAAATTGTACTGTATGCTAAATATTGTATAATTCAATGCTGATTCACCAGTTTCCAAACTTCGTTTAATTTCTTTTTTGATGCCCGTAGTTTGTGACTAAGATACTGTATTTCATTTCATTACGAGGAAGTCGCATGGAATTTGATTTTACCGTATTTTCCTCACAGTAAAAGCTATCATAATCTCAACTATGGACCTTATCTATTTGTATTCAAGGCACTCAACTAATGAAAACAGGAGCGCTGCTTGTGCCAAAATTAAGGTACTTAAACTTCAGCATTGTCATTCAAATTTTCGATTCAGGCGACTTCTACTTGAAAATCTTGGAATAACGTCTGCCATTTCATTGGAAAGACTTGAAGTATTTAGCCGAGACTAGAATATTTTTAAAGTTAAGTTGC